ATCTGGAGTCCCATTTCATCACCATCTCCGAACGAAAGCTTCAGCGTCGTGGCCGAAGACCAAAAAGTGTCTGCTCGAGAGATGTAATTGACGCGCGAAGGACAAGACCGGCTGCAATCGCAGAAAAGATGCCGAATGTTCTCAGGGCTTCCGACGATGAGGCAGTTGGGGGCGGCTGAAAGCTGCAAACAAAGAAAGGGCGACGGAAGTTTTCCATGCCCCGAGCGGAGTCGACCGAACGTGACGTCTGTGCGGTCCTCGCCGTGAAGATGCAGGTCGTCTTCCCGTCTCGAGGGGAAGTAATTGATATTCAGATGAGAGCGGCTAAGGGTCGAGTTGCCATCTGCGTTCTTCTTTCCAGGTATGAATGGACGTATTGAGTTGTTCAAAAGCCCCTTAGGATGTTAGCAATTGAACAGACGACTTCATGAAAGAACTTCTTGCCCGCAACATGTGCAAGTTCGTTCCCAGCGATGGTTACATGTGAAGGCGCCCATTGAAAAGAAGTAGAGGACTTGTGATGAAGAATCGAAAAATGTGCGTCGACTAAAAGGGAGACCGAACGTCCTGACTGAGAATATGGTTCCTGTCCAGAGAAATTGACCCAAGCAACTCCTACAACTAAATGACGTCTACGCGACGCTACCGCAACGTCGTTTAGCTCAAGTTACTTCGCAGCAACGTTGCATGGACGTCACGTGCTGCTTGGGGTGTGTCTTGAGGCTTCCGCAGATCTCAGGAATGGTAAAAGGGGGCCCGATCGGGCCGATAAGACCACCTGACTCCAAGTGGCATACAGGGGCCTGCTTCGTTCGGGCGGGAATGCAAATGACACCGAGGACCTGTCTGCTGATAGTTTATATTGAATGCAAAGTGTCTGTCTCGTGACGGGGATGTCAAGGCAGATGACTGCGGCTTCTTGGCGGCTCAGAGAGTTCGTTCGGATGCTCTTTGTCCAGCTTCATACGCATGCAAGCATGGAAAAATGCCTGCACGGAATCCCTCTCGAAACTTCTGCGACTGTGCTCGGTAGTTACGACCTCGTTATGCGAAATCACGGAGCAACCCTTTCGCTGGTTTAGAGATAAAGCACGCTTTTGTCAGCCCCCAAGCTCCGGGTCGATTGCATCTTCGAACCCGTGTCCTTTTCTCAAATCTTTTCGAATATTATGCAGGGTGATTCATAAGTCTGGAGACATAAGGAAAAGTGCTTTTATGGTAACTTTTACAACAGCTGTTGAATGTGATGTCCCTCCGTCTCGATGCAGTTGCGGAGTCGCTTCACCCATTCATGCTGGACACTTCTGAGGACGTCAGAAGTGATTCGGAGTCGGGCGTGTGATATGCGGTGTTCGATGTCACGAATCTTGACAGAGTAAACCACGGCGATGAGATATCCTCACAGAAATCAAGAGGCGTCAAGTCGGACGAACGAGGTGGCCATTCGAATGCTCCCCTTCGACCAAATCTAACGATTAGCTGAATGTCGAACCATTTCCGTACAGTTAGCCTAAGATGGGCGACGCTCCCATCTTGCCGAAACCATCGAGTGATTATCTCTTTTTATTGAGCAATGTTGGCATGGCCTCTTCCCGAGGCATATCTTTCAGCTTCGACATTCTCCTTAAAGAAAAATGGACCCAAAATTTCTGTACTCCAAATTACACACCAAACCGTCATTTTGTCTGATCCTTTCATCTCCATTGGCTCCATCCAGTGTGGATTTTCGTGAGACCAGTACTGATAATTCTAACGTTCACTTCCCCATTAACATTAAAATTGGCTTCATTTGTGAAGAGCATTGTACGCGGGAAGCAAGGAAACATCATTAAACTTTTCTACTTCCAGATTTAAGAATCACGCTGCATAATTCACGCACTAAAAGGATTTAAAAGGAAAAAGGGAGATCATCCTGATCCTAAACGTGGACATGGCAGAACAAAGTTGTGCGAAAGCTACTCCTCTTGGGCTTTCTGTAAACTTCGATTGATCAATGGGCTTAGTACACGAAGGAAAGTCTTTAGACGCCGCTAAAGAAGAGCCAATAAGCCTAAATTCAAGTTACCCATGCTGGATTATTATTGCAAACTTTTACGTGGTAGGGAAACCATTTAGTGGGTAGTTGTGTCTTGGATCATAATTCTCCAATGATCTTTACCAACAGCGTCCGCAGCAATATAGTGCCATTGGGATCGGATGTCATCAGTCTGAGCTTTACATAATCCCAGTTGAACAGGATGAGAAGGAAGAACATCTCAGAAGAATTTCATAACTAATCTGATACTTGCTGCACTGCATGTTTCGACCTGGCAGTTGCCAGATAAAGCAATATTGATGCACTTTAGACATGTCATGGAAAAAGGATGAAAATGTGAACCCCCAAAAATTTATATGGTTCTTCATACAGCCACTCATGAGATACTTCAATTCGATGTCAATTTTGCTCTTCTCCTTGGACAGTTTGTTGTCAAATGAAGCAACACTCCTCTGTCCTCAATACTTTCAGCTGTTCTAAAATGGTATACCATGGTAATGCTGACAACGTCCTTATAGGAAATAAGGCCTTTCAATGAAAACACACTTGCTTTTAGAAAAATAACAAAATTCTCATTCCCTGTAGCTTCAACAAAGAAGCTCTACAAACATTTTCAACAAAAAAATCTTCACTGCCAAGACTGTGTTAAGCGTTTATGTCAGGGGAGCAGCAAAAAAAAAAAACATGATTGCATGGCAATGGCATTTCACGTTCTGGTGGCAAAAAAAAACTCTGGAGCAAGGCCACAGAAATAGAGATTCTCCTGAATAAACCGAAGGTTCACACACATGTTCAAAGAATAAACAATAATTCACATTCAATCACATGCCATCTGACTGCCTGCATGGATGTCATTCAAAATCTGGTCCTACCAATATAACACAGATGCAGCAAAAATTCCAGACTTCAAGCCCATCAAGCATAGGGGCACTGAAGAATAGCGCTTGGACAAATGTCACTAATGACAAGAGAACAAAATACCTTTCTAACATGTCCAAGACTTCATGGACTACCTTTCATATTACATATGTAGAACATTTACAGGTGTTTCAAGACACGAAAATCTGGCAGGGGACGATGTGAAAAACTCCTTAGAAAAAAGTGGCAATGCCAATCACTTTCCTAAAATCATTGGGTATACAACTGAATGAATGGGGTATGAACTTCAAATGATAGAAAGGAAAATGCCAAAGATGAAAAGAATGCAACGAGATCAAGAATCCTAGTACAGGGCATTCTTAATGAACCATAACATGGTAATTGTGTGTAGTACAGACCTGTCAGGATTACCAAAAAAAATGCCATACATGGCCATGTGCTGCTTGATGAAACAGCAGGCTACAGGAATGAGAAGGACTGCTTCACACCTGACTGCATCACAGAATTCTTTGGACTACAACCAACACTTCCATTATAAATTGGATGATCTCTTTCTGAATCTTTGCTGCCATGAACAAAGCTATCTGCTCTCTTCTGAGGACCATTGCAATATCCAAATGCAGAGCCATTGGTTGGAAAAAACGTTTTCCCATTCTCAACAGAGCAACTTTTCCGCTTTCGATGATTCACTTTACAATCTTTGAGCAGTTCGTCTTTCATCAAATGATACTGGGTTCCACTGGGAGTATTTCTGTCATCATCCAGTGATTCTGGAGAAAGCAAAGGAGTATGATCAAGACTGAAGACGCTTTCATGGAATTGTGACTCTTTTTGCACTTTTCCTGGTGTAGGAGCAGACAGAGAATCAGAAGGTTTTTCCACTGTTCTTTGTTTTGCTTGCTGAATTCCTTCTTTTTCAAGCTCCTCCTTGGTCTTCACAAGAGTAACAGAAAACTTAGTGGCAACACCATTTCTTACCATTACAGTGTATTCACCTTCATGATGAAAAGGATCATAAGGATCCTCTAAATCAGACAAGTCAGAAGAGTCTACAGAGCTCACAGAGATATTGTCTTCATGTTGAAGCAATGAATCAAGAACCTGACACACATTCTCCTTCGGAAGGAGACCTTCCAGGATGCGGCTATAACTTTTTGAGGAAGACTTCTTTGAATTAGAGTTTTTTCCACTACTTGAGTTACCCTTGCTGGATGAGGAAGTCCTTGAGGAAGAGTGTGAGTCTCCTTTCTTTTGACCTTTCTGCCCAGTAGGGAATGATGAGTTCCCTCCTGAAGGATCTTTGTCAGGTTTGTCTCCCTTGTGCGAGGAGCTGCCACTCTTGTGCTGATAATGATCATCTTCAGCAGACTCTTTCTTCTTGTCTTGCTTCTTTGACCCCTGACTCAATTTAGTATCTTCTGTACCTGACTTGACCTTCTTTGGGATTTTGAAGTGCTTCAGACTCTCAAAGGAGGCAAACTTCTCCCCATCATCATCTTCCTCTTTACACTGATCATGACCCTCTTTAATGGTCTCAACTTTAACTTGATCTTTGGATTCTGTAGTGACATTACTCCTGCTAGTAGACTCAAGGCTCTTGGGTATTTTCTGTACACTTCCCACCTCAGCAGATGAACTAGTGTCATTTCCTTCAGTTTCTGAGGAGCCCTGAAATCCAGCACCACTTAGGGGTGTGCATCTGTCAGGGTCCTCCTTGCTGGTCCCTTCCACAGAGGTTTCTATGCAAGTCCTAGTCAGATCTTCCTCTGTGAAGACAGCATCTGAGCTTCCTGATGTCCAATCCATATCTGTCTCTCTCTGGGATGATTTTCCACTTGAACTTTGATCTTTTTCAGAAATTCTTTGGTTGCCTTCTGATGGGGAAATAATGCCTTCCTGTGTTGACAGCACATAATCTGCATCAGACATCACTTTCTCCATATCAGGTATTTTTTCTTCTTTCACTTCTATTTTCTCTGGAGCTGCTGGCTCTCTCCTCTCTGTAAAACACAGAGGAACAGAAAATTAGCAATTAAACATGGTTATTTGAGAAGGGCAATAAAAGCAATGAATGAGAAGCACAAAATGTTCTATATACATACTCCCCAGGGGTACCATTACTCATATGCATGTCCATGCACATGCCTACATTGAATCTATTCACGTCATGACATGTGCAACAGGCAGGAAAGTCAGGAAACAGAATGTACAGTTGACTCCTGGATGGTCTCTATCAAGCTCTAGGGAGCAACTCTAAAGCAAGACAGAGGGAAGTGAGATTCTTGCATGATCAATTACCTAGGAGAATATACACCAAATCAATTTGCTACATCCACAAGAGAAGCCAGAAAATTCCATTCTACTTTCATCCAGTGCAAGAGTCAAAAATAAAGCAAAAGAGTTTTTGCTATGTTTAGGTATTAGTAATTTAGGGACTCAAATGGTATTTACTATTTTCTTGCCTTTGGTATGAATAAGCTTTATTAGTTCCTGTGGTAATTGGTAATCATTGTCTTCCCATAAAGGCTAGGGCTTCTCAGCTCATTCAAATTATTTTCTGTTGTTCTTTAGCACACAATACAAAGTTTCTCTTCTTGAAAATGGTTTGCATGAAACACTTCTCTCACTGAAGGAGAGACCAAGTATTTTATATGAGAGCTACATTCACACTCCAGGACCTTTCTGGAGTCTTTTTGGTTACATGGTTCCACATGTCCTTCAACATCATTTGCATTGTAAGGTTGCAAAGAGCACTTCCTCAATTTTGAATAATTCTTGGGGTCTAAAAATGCTTTCTGGATACAAAGAGCTGGCTAGTTGGAACTATTATTCAGATGATTGAACAAGATCATTGACACTGTTTCAAAGACAGACAAAAAGATTCTCTTAGTGAAACCAAGAAGGTACCACTGACACTAGGAGCTATCCTGATCTCACTTAAGAAACATCCTCTCCAATGGTTTCTGCCATGGATTAGACATCAACAAATAAGTAAATGTAACAGGCAAAATTGTGTAAAAATGTCAGGTTTAGGTAGTGTGATGTGAAAGATGCTTAATTCAGTTTGGTTCTTATGTCTGTCTTTTCTCTTGGTTCAAGTTCATTTGGGCATTTCAAAATTGGCCAAGAACTCAGTTCAGTCTATGGATGTTTGAGAGTGTCTCTAGTATACAGCACAACCATTGTTAGACAGAGGTTTTATTTAACAAACAAGCATCTTCTTTTATATTTAATATGTACATGTTGACAAACTCATACAGGGTGTCCCAAAAAAAGCATAAAGATTTTGATTCTGCATTACCTGAGAGCAAAGTAAAATGGAGTTGATAGGCTTGCAACTCTCCTGACACTCAGAAATTATGTTACACATAATTTGTTTGTTATGTTTCTCAAAGGATATGCAGATGAGAGTTACACATGAAAAATAATGCCTTATTATTTTCCATCTCATAGGCAGCATTTATGTGCAGGTATCACAGCTGTCTCAATCCCCATGGCAATGATTTCTTGGGAGACAGCCTCAAAAACATTCCTAACATCATCTCCCAGTGCAGCTATTGTTCATGATTTATTTGTGTAAACTTACTCTTTCAAGCATCCTAAGAGAAAGAAATCAGGTGCCATCAAGTCTGGGGAATTTGATGGCTGGGTAATTGCAACAAAACCAGCAATAATGACCTGGGGAAAAATGGTATCCAACAGTGTCCATGTCTTCGGGGCTTGATGACATATTCCACAATGTTGGAAAAATTCCTTGTGAAATCTCTAAGGTAGTTCAGTGCATACAAAAGCTACCAGCAAGAATTTGGAAGGTGTTGATTTCTGTGTGTAATAAGAGCACAAATATCTCTTGATGAATGTGTAAGGTAACTCCCGGCACTCAGGAATGTGCCAAACATACTAATTTCATTTTACTTTCTTTTGCTTCCTGGGAATGCAGAATTATTATCCTAATGCTTCTTTTGGGACATCCTGTATGGTAAAAGATCATGAATATGAAATCCAAAAAAGTTGAAACATTTGAGACTGTGAATATCTATGCCATACAGGAACCTAAGTAAATTACTCACGGAGCCTGGGATTAGGTGTAGCTTCTTCAAATTCAGGTCTTGGTTTCTCCACACCAAAATATGAATACACCATTTCTTCAATGCGAGGCAGAAAGACACTGGAGATCTTGGGATTCACCACCTGCTCCACAATCCTTTCTATGCCAGCAGCCATCCATGAAGAGCTGTGAATTACAAGACATTATTACAATTAACACAGTTCAGAATTTGATGACACTTAGCAAATTATAGCACAGAGGAGATTTCCACCCTCCAATTATCATATAGCCTGCTAAGTCTTTTCTTGCAATTACATCATTGTGTACCAAGTCCTCATTAAACAATTATGGCTCAGAATAATTATTTTTTATATTTTTACTGGGATGTATAACAACTCACCAAGCCACCAAGAAATGTGGCATTCACTGGTGATTCTGTTATTTTCACTTCATCCCTAAATGGCAGATGGAGCTTTAGTTGCCTCATTTGGTTACTCTCAGCTGTTTATCAGGCCAGGGCCAAGTATCTTGCTTCAGTTTGTGCAATTTCAGTTTATTCACACCTATTGTTGCTATTTTTTCATTGCCAGTAAGTATTACATCCACAAAATATATTTGTAACTACCACTGAATTTCACCATGTGACAATGAAAAATGAACTAATTCTTTTTACTCTAATGCACAACATACCTTAACATACCCACTAATAATTTTTTAATATGTCAACAAATTTGAAATAAATTTGTTTTACTTAAGTCACATTAAATACATTAATATGAAAATAGCTCCATGGGCCAATCCTTGAGCACCTTTTCCTTCTCTGCCTGTCAGCTAGCAACTGTTGTTGCTTGGAAAAGATAGTAAGAATGTACCACTGGTGATACACTGGCACAGTAGATTAAGTTATGAGTGTATCACCAATGAGACATGTGGCAGCCAATGTGTTAAATATGGATGACTTCTACTTCAAAAGTACAATCAATTGGTATGACATAATAGCCAGAAGCATTACAGCACTCATATATAATTAATTATAGCAATTATATAATTTATCAATCCTTATTCGGGTATACTGTGCAGTGCAAGGATACAGTATTCTTATGTAAATTGACAAATTACTAAAACCAAACCCTTATATTCATCAGGATTTCCTGCTAAGGGAATGATAACAGCAGATTCCCTAAATTCAAGGGCAGCATGGTATCTTCTTGGATCTCACACAGACAAAAAGTACTGCACCCACTCTCCATTCATTTCAAGTTATAATGATGACCTTAATCTTCATCATCTGGATCAAGTCAATATAGAATACCTACAGCCCTACATTTAGGTAACATTTGCTGGCTAAAGGTTATGGTGAAGGGCACCAGCCTCATGGAAGGCTTCCATGTTGAACATTTTCACAAGGTCAGCCTCATACTTTCCAAATGAGCATGGAAAATAGCATTGGCAATGATCACACCTTAAGAATTATCAAGCTAATAATTCATTCCCACAAAGGTAAAAATAAAATTTTTTTTTGAACCCATGATTATTTACCAGCAATGCTCATTCTCTTCCAAGTGCAGATTTAGGTAAAAGCTAATGCAATAAAAGTTTTTAAATGATAGCCACTGAAACAACATATACCAAGAGAACTGAATGTAAAGCAGTTGGGATAGGTTATGGGAGACAGTACCATAACCAAGATTCAGCTTGGAAATTCCCAAGTGAGGCAGGACTCCTGACTATTAGAATGACACTAGATACCTCCTTCACACAATTGAATCATCTCACAATGGTGAGTCTGACCTCACTACTCATGCTTGCTATGACATCTTTAGACTGAGGAGACGAGCATTTCCAAAGAAAATGCAGTCTGACGAAAACTGTCAGTTCAAGAAAATTGCTTGAAAATTTGAGTTCTTGCACAAGGTTAAAAAAAAAAAAGAAGGAAGAAGACCCATGAGAGGGAACTGGAAGCTATAAAAACAACTGGCACCATCCACTGATATTGAATATACGAGATGTGGCTATTAAGTTTCCAGACTTTTTTTATTTATTTATTTTTAAATGGAAATAGAGGAAATGATGCTAGTCTTAGCCTTTTTCTCAAACATCATTGCCAAAATAAACTTTATCATTTGTTGTCTAACAAATCCCATGGCAACTATCCCTCACTTCATCTCTTCTTCTCATATTTTTGTAACTTTTGTGATCAATGATCATCCAGGTGGATTTCATTCTGGAATTTCTTATTTATTTTCCTGTTGTCATACAGTACAAGTTCTGTTTCTTTCAAGTCTAGTTAATAAGGCTACAGTTTGTTGTCCTCTGATGTTTTTCATTCAAGTCACAATTCTGATTAGCCAAAGACCTGGTCTAACCCTTTCTCTGGCAAGGACATCTGAACATTATGAGAATGTGAACGTAATATTATGTTGATGCCAGGGAGAGGGTTAATGTGAAACTCTATAGCTTCCACAAGAGATTTATGTAGAGGTTCTTAAGTTTGGCTATATGTCTCTCCAGTTGAGGAATGAAAATGTCCTTAAAAATGAATTCATATAGGCTTTTCTCATAGTTCACCCAACATCAACTGCTCCTAGCACTGTCTGAACTGCATGATCTGCTTGATAATGCCTAGCAAATGACTGTTCAATAGTGCTCATCATGATTCAAAGATTCAGAAGTACAGAAGTTATACTGACCTGTCTTTTTTGAGCTCTTATACACAACTAACTTCTAAGAAATAAAATAAAATATTGCAACAGAACACATATTCTCACTCAAGGATATGTTTCCGGAGAGAATCACGAAGCTGATTCTTGTTGAGGTCTGGTGACCAGATCTGTCCTCTCAGGAAGCCATCAACAGAAGCTTCCAATCGTGACTGGAGATTCTGGTATGCAGGCTGCAAAAAATTAACATTGATGCTAAATCTTAATGATCACAATTGCTGCAACTTTATTGAATTTAACCAGTATCACATTTCTAGTATATTGGTACCTATACTAATGATGCTCTTCCATATTTACATGCGAATCAACAAATTAGTTAATCAAGATGAAGAAATGGAGGGCAAACCCAAACATTCAAGCAGGATACGTCTTTAGCTTTTGTCCTTTCTATAGGCCAGTGCTTCTCAACCAAGTTTTTTCTATTTTCATGCATATATAACCCTAGAAGCGGTAAGGTTAAACCCTGTGATAGGTGAACTATCAATTGATCAACAGTTGCCACTTCTAGGGTTAAAAGATCAGAAATATCCTTGTGCTTTCACTGGATGTCCCACCCCACAGTTTGGCTAGTACTGGTCTAGGCAAAACCACAAGCCTGCTTGACCTCCTGTACTTCAGTTTTCGGACTTAACCCTTTGGGGTCCACACCCGAGTTACCTCGTGTGGGTCTCATGATGAAGAATAGAAAAAACTTGGATGATAGTGCTGACACATTCAAATACTTGGACCCCAAAGGGTTAACCAAGGCATATGAAATGGAAGACAATGAAGCAATCTAGCAACTATTGTTGGTCAAATATGCTGATTTAAACATGCTTTTTGGCAAATGGTAGACATGAATCCTTTTGCATCCCTACTTACAATGCAGGTAGGATCTTGCAATGAAGAACAATGATGAATTCAGGTAAAATTCACAACTAACACTTAGGCCTATGCCTAGTCTGTAACTAAGGTTCAGACAAGCTCAAAACTATGCCTAACTTATAGATCTATCCAACTTGGCCAAACCTTTGTATCGACATCAGAGAAGCACTCTTTTCTGAATTGGTCGAAAATGCCTTGAGATTTTAGTTCCAGAACCATCCCATCAATTTGCTTTTCACTCCCATCACACTTCCGTAATTGGGGTTCTTCCATTGCCTAAACTTGATGTGCTTGTCAGAGTTTGGCCTGATTTAGCTTCTCCCAAGAGGCCAATCTGAAACATCACAAACACAAATGAGTGTAGGTGAACTTTAGCCAGATTATAGGCATATGAGAGACCTGAGTAGCATTGCCAATCCTCATGTATTTTTAGAAATATAGTAAATTCTTTCTCATCAGTACCCATTGGCAGTATTTCTGGTACTGAACTGGATACTCTTGCCATGAAAACTTTCCACTCTTGAACTAGGCCTATATAAACTCAAATCTAGATTTGTCAGGGTCAGATATTGAACCTGGATCAGGTCTCAGCAAGGGGCAAGAGCAAAGTTTCAGAGGTGGCAATAAGCTAGGATGTAGGATTCCAAAACCCCTCATCCCTCTCTTTTTTGCTGCCCCGAGCAGTGTGCCTTGACCTGAGACAAGACTTTCCCTGAACCCCTCTCTTTCCACTAATCATTCCTTGACTGCTGAACAATCCCTTTCTTTATCTAAATTAATCCTAGATTTGAATGAACATGCTATGTTGGAGCTTTGTACAGGCCTTTTAGACCAAGGCATAAGTATGAGTCCTTTCAAATAAGTTATTTTCATGATAGTAGCCAAACGGAAGGATGTCATGAGAACTTCAACTGGGTTGATGAAGTGCATTTCAAGCTTACTTTAATTTTTGTCTTGTGCTCAGTGTAAGGAGTCTTAGGTCTTAGAATTTCACATTAAGGACAGCTTCAAGAAATGAGAACCATTAAATTAATATCCTACTTGCTACAATTCATTTTGTTCCAATGCCAGCTAAAGTAAACTTAGATCACTAAGTAAGTTCCCTGTTATGCAAGTCTATTATGTGGTGTGATTCAAAATTTAATGGTTGCTGATAGCAGCAATAGTGAGACAAGGGTAAATCAAACTTTGTAAAAAGGTTACACACTTCTATGATTGTGCTCTATGATTGGTCTAGCCTATACACTAACATTAGATCATTCGGCATAGGCAAAGGCCTTGTGATAAATCTTGAAACAAAGGCCTATCGCATCAAAAAGCCTCGAGTTCACAAAGACTTGAGCATCCAGAAAACTGCTCAGTTTTCCAAATATACATACATATTGATACTTCAGAAGAATGGTGTCACCCAAGCCCTAATAGTGCCAAGGCAGGGGACTGTTTGACTCTGTCAGGCCTACAAACTCATACACCTTCCTCCTACACGAGATGGGCGCGCCAAAACATTGTATGAGAGCTCCATGGCGCAAGCAGACGAGCAAAGAACATCCTGACGACACAGGAGGACGCCATCATAGTAACTTCATGACGTCATCAACGACCTTCCCTCCTTGCTTTTCGTACCTGCAATGGGAGTTGCATGCGGAAGTAATCAGTCAGCATGATCGTAAGGGTCAATTGCAAAAACGTCGGAGGGAAAAAACATCAGTTTGGATATTTTTTAAAGTACCAATCAGAAATCAAAGAATGAACTTCGAGCGGAGACCAATCTTTTTTAAGGCTACATTTTGCTCTTCACATTTTTTTTCCCTCCCTCCGGGGATTGTCTGAAGTCGTCCCCCCACTTTCTAAGAGTTCTTTCGCTGCGCCTATGAGTCGTTCCTGTTCCCATAGTCATTAAAATACTCATATCAGTGAAGTCAACAAAATGTTCCTTCTCAAAACCATCAAAATAGTGTTAGGAGTAGTGCAGCGTTATGATACTTCTCCATAACTTGCATCATGATGTCCCCTAATTGCAGAGAGAGGTAACAAAATCTTCCCATCTTCTTGCAAAAATAGGATTTTTTTCTGAATTTACAATGGAAGAAAGCAAATGTTGCTGTCCCCAACAGGCAACACTAGGTGGAAGGGCAGTCAGAAAGAGCCAAAACTATCAAGACAATAGCGAGCATAAGATACTCTTTTAGGCAATAGAATGTCTTGAAGGAGAAATTCTAGGTTTTTCTTGCTGTCATTTGCATGCCATAGTTCCGAGGAGGAGCTCATTAGGTCAGATGCCACTCTATGCGATCCTGCGGGGAAAAATCTAAAATCTCATCCACAATGAAATCTCACCTTCAGGCCATTTGACTATAGGCTATTTGGCCATTCAGGCCATTTGACTATACACGTTGACCGCCACGGAAATGCTGGCCTATTGATTTTCCTATTCAGTGAGGCGCACCAGCCCGCCTCGTGGCGGTCAACCTGTTAAAGACCCTTTTAGGTTATTCCGTGATCCGTGTGGTCCATTTGAAAGGTGAAACCGAAGTTTACGCGACTGCCAAAGTGAAGTATACGCATCGGGAAATACATGAAAAGTTTAATCTTATTGGAATGCATGCTCATTTTCACAAGGCCACAGCGAAAATTAAAATGACGAAAACAGTCGTTATTTTCATCATCATTATTAGGCATCGTCTTATGGATAGGAATAATGAGAGGAACAGTTCTCCATCTGTTTTATTATTTTTTAAATTTCTTTTTCTTTTTTTTAATACTGCGAAACCTTCGTTGCTGCTGGAGTTCGGATGTCGGATGGCGACTATTTCCCGATGCCATAAGTTTCGAGGGCAGCAGTTTCCACTTCAAAAACATGGTTCTTCCCTCGTCTGCATCTTGATCCTGGAAATGAAGTTCAAAGGGATAGCATGTTAACAAGGCGTACGATCGAGAATGCGGTCGGCATACTGCATAATTTTCCTCGTTTAAACTAGAGTCGATTCGATTTCTTTGGCAAGGACTTTTGGAGTTTTTAGAACATTTCGTTTAAAAACAGAACAGGTCAGTCGACTATTCATTATTCAGAAGGTTACTGGGAGGCTGAAAAATGAAAAGTGACGCCCAACCGGAACGGCTCGAGCTTTTCGCAATTGACAGTGGTGCTGTTATGTTCGTCTGTGCGTTCGGTTGCAGTTTTTCAGCCTCATGAATTCAACCAGGAGCTTTGCCTTGGTATTTTATTATTATACAGGGTGATTCAAAAGTCACTCCCTAATTTGTTTTCTCTATATTTCAGATTTTGAATATTTTTAGGTGAAATTAGTTCTCATGATAGTCAAGTGATGGGAAACTATTTTGAAACGCATGTATTCCCATGCATTGGCTTCTACAATAGTCCCCAGAACCCAGGTCTTGTCAGCCACAACGTTCCAAGCACTATCTTAGTTTTTCTTCGTTATTCTGTATAACAAAACAATTTTCTTCATCAGAATGAGGACAAACACGACCAATGTGCTCGCCTTGTGGGCTATGATCTTTTTGGACTTAAGGTCGATGCACACTGACTGCGAAGAGCTGCGGCAAAGCAGCACTGCGACCGTATGCGAAGCATCTCCCACACTGGTCCCAGAGCTTCAAGCGAAATCCAACACGGGTGCTTACAATTTGAGAGCTCGCGCTGCAACTTTTTTACTTTTTTGCGGCCCAGGGGGAAAAAGCTCCCAACAGTGGTGAGTGCGTTCTGTACACAGATTCCGTGATCAGATGGGAGAATTTGCGACTCTAGTAGAACATTTTATCACCGCAGACAAGGAGTGTTTTTCTTGCATGTCCATGAGAATATCTCTTGAGCCGTTCAAGACCCTTCCTAGTTTGCTGGAGGAGAGGGTAGGACACAAACTCAAGACCATGCATTTCCGCAGCGCAAATGGTGGCGTTGACACCGAGTTGGGTAAATGCATAGACCACTCGATACAAATATTCTGTATATCTCAAATACGTATAAATCATGCGGTACTCTCTTACAGTAAAGGAGGGTAAGATTCAAGCTTTTGCCCTCGAAGAGCAAGGGCTTCTCAACTTGAAAAATAAAAATAAAAAATGAATGGATAGAAAAAAAAGAAAATAATCAGGAATAAAGTTGTTATGGAGACCTTTATCTTTATCTTTACCTTTGCATCTATAAAGAACGATGGAGATCTTCGGGCGTACTCTGAGGAGGTCCAAAGGATTGTCGATTGGTCAACACAACATGATCTAATTCTCAATCCCGATAAGTGTCAGGAGCTTGTTTTCTCTAATAACAGCTTCCTTATGAGGGGGATCAGAAACCAGCCTCCTGTAGAATTGTGACACCAGTATATTTTGTTTTGTTTTTGTGTTTGTGCTGACGGGCCGAACCAAGGCTAATAAAGGGTCATTTCATTTCTTTCTTGGAGATTTATTTCGTATATCTATGTCCCTTGCTCATGGAGATTCAATGGTGATGATTTACATCATCTACCGCCAAAGTCATTCCATCAAAAGAACCGTCAAATTATTATCTAACGACTCCATAATTTACGGTTAAGAGATACGCAGTGCGAACCAATGCGAAGATGCGACAGGAAATGACCCGTCCGATTCCTTTGCGAAGCGTACTGCGACCGACTGCGAAGGTCCCACGCATCTCCAATGCGACCGATTGCAACGAACTGCGACAGTCGCAGTGGTCGCAACGCAGCTCCTCGCAGTCAGTGTGCATGGCCCCTTATGAACAGTGATGTCACAGAAATGAAACACCTGGTGGCACAAAAAAGCGTCCTGTTTGACGCTTTATAAAATCTACCAGGGGAAATCTAGGGTTATAATTGTTCAATACCATGGAGAAAAAAATACCCTAAAAGTTTATTTTTATGCAATGAAAACTTAACAGGCTGAAAATTTAGTCTCTGGATCCAAAAGAAAATAAGAAAATTCAGAAATGCTCATCAGTGTTTCATTCGCCCCAAAGCAGCTGTTTATTTTTTGGTCACATGCTCATCCCAAAGTTCTTTGCTCTGTGAATCATATCGCAGCCGGCAAAGGTAAACGTCATTGAGATAAAGATGTTTTTTTCGGAGAGAAGAACTGGAGAGGGAACACACCACAAAATAATCCACAGTGAACACAGTCCATGATTCGATTGGAGCCACTATTATCAATAGCCTATTCCAGGCAACGCACCCACTTCGGGCCTAAATTGGAATTCCATATATGGGATGTATACCAACGTTGGTCCCCCACAGGCTGCATACATGCGGCATGACTTTCAGGCGTTTTGAAGAGGCATGGAGACAAAGCTTCTTTATTTGTTCATGATTGATCCTCTTCTCCGAGTCTCTTTCGATTCAGCTGGGAGTACTCCAGCGAATACTCCACTCCTTGATTGAATTCATTCAAGGCATGAACTTTCCATCCGGAATTAGAGCTCCGTTGTGGCTTCTTGTATCTACCTCTCCCGTTCTGGAAGTACTTGTCAGATAGGACCTCTTGGGTGATCTCTTTTATCACATCCAGATCTACAATCTCCGAGGAGGGGGGGGGGGGGTTTACATGGACTGTTCAACCTAAGTGCCTAAAAAGTGCCTAATTTCAATTCTTCTTCACCCCATGTAGTCAGGCCCTTGTTGAATCATGCCTCCTTCACAACCTCAATCTGGTCTGTTTAGCTTTTTCTTTTAAACAAATGCTTTGAGGAGTTCGAGTGTCTTCCCTTATGTTGTCTATGGAAAAAGATCAGGTGCCTCATGAAAAGTACTGGATACTTCTAGCAAGCTACTACAGGGTGGGTCAAAAAATCTTCGGTATCTTTAACGCTTCACAGCGTCGTTTCTCGAGAGTTTAAAAATATTTCTATATAAAGCATTTATCTAGCTTTCCACTGATGTCAAAAGATTTCAGATTCAATTTGTCATTCCGATACAGTTACGCACAATGTAGCAGCGGTAACGCTTGAAAAGTGCACTTACCAGCACAATATGGGATGTGCTCCTGGTGACGTCCATTCTTTCGCTTATGGCAGGGGTGTCAAACTCAAATCGGTCGGAGGGCCGCATTCCCTACCATACAGATGCCTGCGGGCCGCACCCATAATTTTCCACTGAAATTTGTGGTGACAGTCTATCAAAGCAGAAATTTCTAAAACACAAGGCGCCCGTATGTTTGACACCCCTGGCTTATGGCAAGTAGGCGAAGCCTTTCATGCACTGGCTGAAATCGCAGTATGGGGCACCGACTTTTCCAGCGCCACCTCTCATACTCTATTTAACAGCGTGGTAGTTGGGCCACAAACCTTTATTTTGTTGACACCATTCGAAAGCTAAATGAATGTTCTACGTGGAGGTACTATTACAATTTTAGCAAACTCTTGGGGACTAGTGCTGTAGAGTGATAAAGATAACCAAAGTTTTTTTTGGCCCACCCTGTACTTAATACCATTGAACTGTGGCTATTTTAGCGTCATTTAGCGAAATTTGTAGGAAACTCAGTTTCTCGAATAACTGAGATAGATGGCTCTCCAACAGATAGGACAAAGTCTCACTACCACCGATGTGGCCCTGCACGAGCAGCCTTCTGTGGCTCACTCTCCCCCACCCACAGCCAACATGGCCCAACGTGGGGTGCTGCTTGAGATATTCTCTTCCCTTTCCAGTCCCCCTGCTCAAAACACATTTATTGTGGCATATCTTTCTTAGCTGCTGCCTGAATAGGTCTAAACTGCACAGTCAAGAGTACTACGCCAAGAATGCAGCCAGGAAAAAAAGACTTAATGGCACCAAATGATCCTTTCAGCATGGAACCGCTGAAACAGCTGAAACCGCTCCAGCCTGATACGTGGAAAGGCTGAATTTTCTTACGTTTAGATGGCTATTGATTTTTATTCAAACAACCTAGACATTTTAAGCTTTCAGAAGCCACATTTTTTTAGTGTTTTCTCTGTAACGTAAAAAAAAAATTGCAACCCAAGCATTTCTGCTGCCGGATTTATGCAGCGTAAAACATAACGTTTTTTCGCTCCACCCGGTATAATGTGAACGGTCCCACATGATCTCAAAAAAAAATAATGAAGGGCCTCTGAACAACAAGCAGCTGGGTTATCATACAACGTAAGTACAGGACCTTATCGACCTCGTTACACACTCTACAGCTCTTCCTTTTCGAGGTAAACATGCTCCTGCATAGGGTATCGTCTAAGGAAGTCATAAATGCCAGTGATTACGGGTATCATTTATCACAACGTCTCGTGGTGGAGATAGCGGATACTTTCCAACAAATCTTCTCCTCCTGGACGGAGAAAACTTATGCCAGTGCATCTCCGGTCCCGTTCCAGATTCTACCGGGAATCCAACTGTGAGTTCAGCACCAGCTAACCTCTCCTTTGCTCTAAAAATACAAACGCAGAAAATGAAGTAAGGAATCGGGGGTGAACTTCTAGATCACATGTTCTTCACATTCAGACACTCAGAGTTTCCTAAAATCGCTTTACATTTGAGACAAAAAAACTCTGCAACTTCATCAAATACCATAGCTTTTACGCACATTGCCAGTGGAAAGACCACAGCAAAGTTTGTGCTCCTCGGATTAAAACAGCTGTTGCTCCACATACTCCCATATTAATGTCCTAATGGGATTTTTTGGAATCCTTTATTTTTTTTGCCTAGACAGCGGCTCCTGTCTCTAGCAACATAGTCTCTTGTGGCAGTATCTTCATATTCAACTCCATGCTTATACTTACGTCATCCTCGTAATGAAAGAGTTAAAAGGGTTCAAATTAAAAGGTTACAACGCAGAACACGCACGAATTGAAAGCTAATACAGCAGTAGGCAACGTAATCTCAATGGACGTAAATGTAAAGAGGGGCGAATCTGCACCCCTTCTACGTTCCTACTTTCAGTCTACTGCTATCTTGTTTCCAACTGATTACTCTTTTAGGTTTAAATGTATATACCAGTACAGTAGATGGAAGAAGAAAAAAAACAGACTTAGATTGACATTCTTGGGTGGTGGCAAACTCTGAGATGTGCAGGGCAAGCGTCCCACCAGGAAGGGGTCTGCACGCCATGAGGCTCGCTGCATCGATAGGACTTTACCCAACCAGTTACGTCTCTTTTTACGTGTCTCTCCACGGCGTCAACCCCACCCGGGCCCCAACCGGGACTGGCAATCCATCCCGGGAGGATGGGAGGGAATGGCCCCTGTATCTAGGCGCTCCTGGATCAAAATCTCGACCGGATGAATCCGGTTTACATAAAGCCAGAGTTATCCAGTCCCACATTCATTCAAAGCCTTCGTCATCTGTTTGACCATTTCAACACAGTCACACCATTTACGGACTCCTGACGCTTTTAACAGCACAATGCATTGCATTCCATTCCTGAAAAACGGAAATCAGATTAAAGACCCCTGCTCTTCAAATGACTCATAAGCTTATCCGCGATCTTCATTGCGCAGTTGCGCAATAGCGTACAGTGCGTATCTGGTCAAAGAATGCCATTTTGAGAAGTACTTGGACCAAACGGCTAAGTTCTATTCTGTGCACCTGTGTTCTGCTGGCTCTAACCTTTTCCCTAGAACTCTCCTCACAGAATTCATTGAAAACGGAAGCGGATTTCTTTGGATCTTGTAAGTTATGACTGCGTTTGTCGATTACTTTCTGCAGATGGCGTTTCCAGCAAGCGTGCGCTTATTAGGCCTCGCCGTGCTTGCGTTGGGATGGACGAGCTGCGAAGCACAGGCTGTCGACAACCAATTTCGGTAAGGAGAGTCCCGAGTAAACATGGCCGCAAGCGCAATTGTCAAAGAAATTATTGTTCAATAATGCTATTGGATTCACGGCATTTCAGATCTGACTCACCCTGGACCTGGCGTTGCAACAACACGGAGCCGATGCGGTGCATACGGACACCGAAGAGCACACTTACTCCTTCAGAATATCAAACTCTGGCCGCATGCAAACTCACATGTGGAAAGTACGGAGGGCTGTGGCCAAAACCAACAGGAGAAACGATCCTCTCCAAGTCAGTGATACCCTTCCTACCTGAAAACGTGACCGTCATCACGTCTTTTGACGCCAGACCCAAGAACTACGCGTTGAGAGCTGCTTTGGAAGCAGCAAGAGATATATTCTTGGGAAATATCAATAAATATTACCCATCAAATATCGAACGAAAACCTGAAGGAAAAGCCCTAGAGAACAGGGTTGAAATCAGAATAAGGTTTGAATCCTCATCCCTTGCCCTCGATCGACTCACAGACGAGAGCTACGTACTTTCCATCACTCGCTACGAAACCGTGACCAGAGTCCAGATCCTCTCCCAGACTTTTTTTGGAGCCAGACATGCCCTGGAAACACTCTCCCAACTCATTGCCTACGACGAACTTTACGATTCCCTTCAGATCTTGGAATCCGCAACGGTCATCGACCGTCCCGTTTTTCCACACAGAGGGGTAATGCTCGACACCAGTCGTAATTACTACAGCATGGAAACCCTGAAGCGATTAATAGATGGACTATCTCACAACAAGTTGAATATTTTTCACTGGCATCTGACGGACGCTCAAAGCTTTCCGATTTGCCTGGAAAGTCGACCAAAATTCTGCCAATACGGTGCATATGCACCTTGGAAAGTGTATCGCGCCGCAGACGTGAAGGAACTCGTGGAATACGCCCGGCTTCGTGGAGTACGAATCATCCCAGAATTTGACGCACCTTCTCACGTCGGAGAAGGGTGGCAATGGGCCATCGAGGAGGGTTTTGACAACCTCATCGCGTGCTTGAGAAAAGAGCCGTGGCAGAAATATTGCTACCAGCCTCCATGCGGGGTACTCAATCCAGTCGAAGATCGAGTTTACGCCGTAAGTACTTCATCCTGATTATTTTTTTTGGTTCAGGCAAAACCATGAGGACTGGGCTGTATTTATCAGTTACTCTTGTTCGTGCTTTTCTTTTGCGTGCAGATATTGCAGGACATATATAGCGACTTTTTGGGCATGTTCGACACGGATGTGTTTCACATGGGAGGTGACGAGGTTGTTTCAACGTGCTGGAATGAGACAACAGAAATCACCGATTGGATGGATTCGAACGGCTACAGTAACACAGAAGATGACTTCACTCGTCTCTGGGGTGAAAAATTCCAAAGGAATGCCGAAAGAGCCTTGAGGATTGCAAACGGAGCTCAAATGCCCATAATACTTTGGACAAGTCATCTCACCAGATCTGAGAAAGTAACCGAATACTTAAATCCAAAAGATTATATCATTCAGGTCTGGGAATTCACGAAGGAGGAGGGGGGTCGGGCGCACATCCAACATCTCCTGCTCAATGACTTCAAGATCATAATGTCAAACGTCGATGGCTCGTACCTGGACTGTGGTTACGGCCATTGGGTGGGCCCACCCGACAACCTCAACTGGTGCAAACCCTACAAAAGTTGGCAGGCTTTTTACGAGAATGACTTCCTCACTGTTGCCCTGAATTTGACAGCAGGCCTAATGACACCGGAAAATGTCACAAAATTAGTCTTGGGAGGTGAAGCACTAATGTGGTCCGAATCGGTAAGTGCTTTCTTTGGCAAATGAAATCCAGGTCGAAGGATCTCTTCCTACTATGCAGGATGACTGAATGCAGCAATATACGATGCAAATGTGGTCTTTCCAGGTGAGCGAGCACAGCTTGGAGGGTAAAGTATGGCCGAGGAGTGCAGCAGCAGCAGAGAGATATTGGAGCAACCCAGAAGGAGGCTGGGTGGATGCTGAATGGCGAATGGCGCATCAAACGCAGCGAATGATACAATTAGGCATCCGAACAGATGCCATCAAGCCGGAGTGGTGCCATCAGAACTCCGGTCTTTGCTATGTGATTTTCAGTGAGGAAATCCCACTGCTCTCGTCCGAGCAATGGGAGCTATAATTTATTTTATTTTGTATGGTCATTCCATCCTGCTTCATTTTTCCTGGGGAATCCGGTTTAGGGAGTAAAACCATAGAAATTCAAACGAAGCATCTTTGATTCTTTGTTGTCTTACAGAATGCATCGTGAAACTCCAGATAAAGCCGTTTAGCTGTTCAAGTTTCATCCGGGTTGAACTCATTTGGGTGTGAACGTTAACTTATGAGAGGACTACATCACATTTCCTTAGCGTTATAGTTACGTTGCTGAGACGGGCAAATTTTTAGCTGGATGAGAATCCAGCTGTGACCGTATGAATACCAATAAGGAATAGGAACAACGGGAGCCAGTCGATGCTCCAGTGGTAACTGAAAGAAATCTACTATGGTACAAGGGCAGTCCACCATTCTGAGGATGCACTTTTAAATTTCCCGATATATCTTTGAATTTTCATTGAACTTTGTTGGTCTGTTGTTCCTAGAAACTCTGCCTTCCGTGAAACGGTGAGAAAGTGAGTTCCATGGCGTTTAAGTAGGGACTGTATGGTGGAAGGAATTAGATGGCGCGAGATGGGCATCGGAAAATTATTCTTCGGTGAGCCATGATGAAGACAGCCTCGTTCTCTAGCCCTAACCCTAGCCCCTATTGAGAAAGTGTCGGAAAATGTCTCTAGTGAGACTTCTATGCAGTTTCTTCGAAAGGATTATATGTTGGCCATCGTATTGAAATTGACCTACGTATCTTTCTGCTGTAGACAGACGGGGATCCAACAATTGATGAACCTTGTGCGCATGCAAACCAAAATTTCCTTGCGTCCTAGCTTTGATGAGATTCCGCTTGCTGTCTCTCTCCTTTTGAAAAGCCGTCTTGGAGGCAGTGTGGCTACTTAGATAATGACGTTTTATTCATGCCAAACTGAAAACTTTCTGTAAAATTTTGTTACGGACAGGTCAGCGAAGAAAGTCAATCCTAAATAGGGTCATTCCTTCTACGCGGTGGAAGGAAGGGGGAGATTGGGTTCACTGTCTGGTTTTTTTCTCACTCTTGAGGGGGAATGCTCACCCCCGCTCATCCCATTCGCGAAGGAGACTTTCCCCACCTCATGCATGGGCAAAGAATCATGTTGGTTTGGTATACTTCGAAACGACAAATGATATGATGATGTGCAGAGTTAGAAGGCTAGGCTAAGCTCTTAGGATATCTCATGAGAGGCCCTTAAAACATACCAAGCATTGCTAGATAGTCGTTCCGGCAGGTTTCAGTCATAAGATAATCACGCCAGCTACTACCGGTATGAGAATTTCAGGGACGTGACACAGGTGACATGAGAATATCGCATCGGCTTGATGGCATGAGAATCCACTGATATCACATGTGGGACGAGCTCTAGATGATGAATTGGCAATTTGAAGCGAAGGCAATTGAGGATTACACGGAATTCTTCGTTCAGGGTGCCTCATAAGAAGGGCAACCGGATGCTCAACGATTGATGGCTCAGTTACCCTGATTAAAATATTATTTATTTTTAGAGCAATGCAATTCAGAGTGCCCCATAAGTCAGTATACAGTTGCAAGGTATTGCATTCCTCTAGTTATTGGTTACTAATTGACACAAATTGTTTCACATTTTCATACTTGAACCATCACTTCACTGCGTCCATGCGTTGAGCCTTGCAGCACTTGCGTTGCTGATCAGCCATTTCAAATTACAGTTACTGTAAACACAAAATTAGGCAACTGTATACTAACTTATGGGGAACCCTGTATATCTGCGTTGCATGAACAGTACCCACGACGCTGTGTGATCAGATAAATCTGAAGTGACGTAATCTTATTTTATTGCATATGATAGAAGTGCTTAAAATGCGATTGGACGTAGTCCTGGAACCAGGAAAAAAGGTTTTGCAAAACGGTCACCGTCGACTATTTTGAATGCTTCCAAATCGTGCTCACGCATTTCTCATCTTTCTATCCATCTATGGGCCACCAGGAATTGGGATTCCACAGCGATTAAGGAAAGCTTGGGATGTGCCATAGGGAAAGGAGAGCAGTGCTTCCTGCTTTGTGAGACCGTAGAGGTTAAAATAGATGCAGAATTTGTTGAATATTTCTCGAGAACGTCTCGAAGCTCCAGATGGCAACTGAGGTTCATTCCCAGTTTGAAGCCCCAGCTTGACCACATCTGTAACTTCAGACGCATTCCAGAAGGAATGTAACCTGTGTTGTCTAACTAATTGAAGGGATACCAAGTCGCGAGCTCGGTAAGATCAAGATCTTGAAAGACCTGCACGGTTTAAGCTGAATTCAACAAATGCGTTTTCGATTTCTTCCAAAATGTGTCGACAACTTCATTTACAAGTATATTCGGTGCAAGAAAGGAAAAGCCCAGAACACATGGATGCAGTGCCACAGTTTGGGAGGCCATTGCTATGGACGCAAAAGTGTATTTCAGTCATTCGGGGTTCAACCTGTTTTTTTTTTCTTCTCGAGATTACTCCTCTCAAAGGCCAAGGCGAAAAAAAAAACATTTTCTGGGAAAATGGCGTGAAGGGTCTGTTTAAAGTCGGAATCCAAGAACAGGGATGACGAAAGCTGTCCATTGCTGATATCGAACGGTTTTTATCTAGAGGCCTTAGAGTTGCTTCACCCATGGACATGTATTTCTGTTTCATGATCCTCCTTTTGCGTTCCTACAGAGATACTGTACCTCGGCAGGTCATATTGTAGATATGATATCGCAAATCTCAAAAGTAATTGCTTACGAGCCTCTATCGATCTGTTTCCTTCCCTTGATTCTATCGATTTCAGTCCGAGGTGTGCCTCTCTTCCTTGTCTCTCACTCTTCTGCTTCAATGCTACTGTTCCTCACGAGAGAGGAAAAATCAAATTGCTACACATGACAAGAAATATGACGTCCAAGTTGGAGGAGGCGATAAGATGGCTCCAAGCTTTGGGGAAGGTATGTGGACCATGACGAAAAAAAGTTGAGGAGGAATGCAGGAGAACTGGGGGGCTTAGGTCGAAAGTTTTGTAACACCTGTAGACATATCACAGGAATGCTTGCAAAATGAGGTGTAATTTAAGTCAACGGGAGGGATTTAATTTAATTTTAAATTAAGGGAGTCAACGGAATTGTTTTGGCAGTTTCTGGTGTTTTGGATTCTTTTGTCTTATCTTGACGCACAAACAGCACCATAAATCGCATGACACAGAGATAATATTTGACACATCCTCTCATTCTCTATAGGTGAAAACTAAAGGCCCTGATTCAATAAACATTGTATGTAGGATCTCTGAAAATTTTAGGGTGTTTTTAAGGCTGAGAACTGAGAAGGTAATTTTGCATATTAGCGGCGAATATTGGCTAGTTTGGAATGTGAAATGGATGTTTCCAACAATTCCTGGATAAGTCTGATGTAGTTCTTTAAGAACTCAATGACAAAGTTTGGCTGATGATGACCTGGAATCCCGATCTTTGGATGGAGAAGTTGCCGTTATAGCAAGTGGTTTCATCGGACAACCAAACTGATGGCGAGCAACAGCTGCTAGCATATCCCATGGCTCTTTATAGAACTTCATCCATCCGAGTTGCAGTAGCCAAAGACTTCATTGTCAGGGTTGCGTATCCATTCGACTGAGGTCGAACAATGTGGATGCACATTTCTTCAGCATTTGACGGGGGAAATATTGAGGAATTGCCAGTACTTGCATGCGCAGACTTGATCTCGATCCAATAGCTGAATGATGATAGCCTCAATTATTGTGATTGCAACTTTTCTGCAACCAAGGCTGACAGTGCAGTATATGATCCAAAAGCACATAGTCTTAGGCATTTGGTCTGTATTCGAAGTGAAATATATTCCGAGTACATACTGGGTTCATTGACTTTAGATTCAATGGTTCAGGTGGAAATTCCACATTCCTGTGATAATCGATACAAATCCACAAAAAAGTATGCATCTGATTCCTTTGATTTCTGCTTCCTGCTGTAGAGAGGTTACGAGTACCTTTGATAAACAGGAGAGTGTTTATCCTGTAGGTGTCTGACAAGGTAGATGGGCACAAGTTTCTCATGAGTGAATCATATGTGAGACATCAGCGGCGTAGCGTCGGTGGCCCCCCCCCCCCCCACAGGTAGGGAGCTCCTTTTTCAGGAAAAAAAACCTAAAGCAAGCAAGAGAGAACTAAGGAAATATCTGAGGACATTGCCCAATAGTTCCAGTACCCTCCCCCCACTTTTCTTTCCACGCAACGCTTATGGAAATCATCATCAAGACTTTGATCTGGAGGGCTATCTTGTCTGGGAAAGAACATGTGTCAACATAGCGATTGATCCGTTCAAGGATGAGTTAAGATACGCATTGAGAAAGATGGAGCCTATCTGCACAACATTGACTTTAAGTTGATGATTGATTGTGTTGATGGGATGTCGATGTTGATCGAATATATGGTCACCATTAACTCGATGTTGAAAATGACACGTCTCAATATTTCAAAAACATTGAGTACTCAATACCCTGTCAATGTTACATCACGAGTGAGCCATCTGGCTGTTATTCTAATATACTAGGTTCCCCGGAACAGAAGCTAGATGGCGACTAATTCAACAGCGAGTTACCTCGTGCATGCCAATGGCATAAGTCCCCAGTACTTTTCAAGCGATACTTGATCTTTTTCCCACAGACGACAAAAGGAAAAACATTGGAATTCCTGGGTACTTTAGTTGAAAAAGGCAATCAAACCCAACGCAACTCTGACTCTGAAAATGACCCTACTTTTCTCCTTCCTAGGAAAGAATTCACCTAGTGATGGTGAAACGAGTCCATAGACTTCCCTTGAGATTCAAACCTTCTCGTATCAACATTGAATGAATGATGATTCACCTTAGCTCGACATCATCGTACAGGGACATTGACAGCGTATTGAGCTCGGCAGCACAGGCGTATGCTTCAGCAATGAGACCTGTCTCATTTCAACCCGAGCCAACGTTGAATCAGTCCAGCAGCATTCAATCAACAACATCGATGGAACATGACGGATGTAGGAACTTCAATACTTTTGCATACGGATGTTGTTTGCAAAAGCAAATGTTGAGTCCATGTTGTTTTACAGGGCTACATCGACATTTTGATAGAATTACCGGAGATTTGGCTCAAATTAAGTTCCACTTATGTGAATAGTAGCATTGCTGTACTTCCAGACGCACCAGAACCACAACTCTATTTCCTTCAACTGTATTGAGGACGTTCATTGTTTCAATGTCGGCACAGCTACGTTGGTAAACTTTGAGCAATGACTTTTCAACATGACAATGTTGTCGGTGCGTTTTGTAAAAGGTCGATTCAATGTCACAGGAAAGTTGAAATTGAAAAAAGTCTGCATTGAAAATACTCTCTTGCGTCATATTGTGCACTGATGTACTAAAGATCTCGTTTCGCTGGAATCGTTGGAAACAAAGAACCACCAGCGTGGTGGTTTTTGTTTTCATATAAATCAGCCTCCCAATTTCTGGGATCTGCTCTTATTCGTCTCTGCCTATCCGGCCTCCTGCACTTTTTACGTCAGAAATTCCGTTGAACCTTAAGTTTTACTTAGCGACCGTCAAACTTCTAGTTCACATCATATTGGAAATATCGATAAAACTTTGAGACCCTCAATGTTTGCAAGTAGAAATAAAATTTCTGCTTCCATCTTCAAAACGCTTAATTCTTATTTGATTTTATTTTAAATGTAAAAATTTATTATACATATGTTGGTTTTTAGGTTATCACATTTCTGATGAGATAGCTTAATTGATGCTACGTTGAGTGAAGAACAACATGGCCGTTCGTTTAAAAAATTCAGTTGAAAAAAGTCTGGACTGTTAGAGAGATGAGCATAGCCCAGTTGAGATTATATTACATTTACAATTAATAAAATGAAAGGAGTCGTGTCAAGTCAAGCATTTCTGTTAATTTCTGTTAATTTGAGCGCGAGATTCTGGAGCTTTCGTTTAACTTCCCTCTATTGTACAATCCAAGGAGCACACTGGTCCTCTTTCCCTTCCACACCTACTAATTTTTTTTGGCTTATGTGTGAAGGCACGCACGAAAAAAGGGGCGAGAAAGAAAAGCACGAAAGGGAACGCAGGAGATGGAAAAACGCTGGCCCCCGTGGACGCGCCCTGATTCGCGCAGAAGCGATTTTTCACCTCTCGCTGTGAAATCGTCACTGTGCAAAAACTTCCCAGCTGATTTTCACAGAACAAATTGCTTCTGATGGTAGTTTAGCCGTGCTAAACAATGCCATGAATTGCAGACCTTCGACTTAGACTCGTTAGACTTCACCTAAAAAGTGAAGAATGAAAATTTTTAAACTTTATTTTTGGTCCGACCTGCATCGAATCTCCATGGCATCTGACTCGAGTTTGCAAATCCCTTTTGATGAAGAACTAAAAGGTTCCGCTCGGTTTGCCACAAACACATAGATCTGAAAAGCGGAGCTTCAATGAAACAACCAACCAAAGCAAGGTTAGAAAAAGATCGAAGATCGAGAGGGAAACTCCAAATTCTGTCTTCAAAATGGCGGCAAATTATGATAGCAAATTAACCATTTCATACCTGAATTTTTAGAAAAAAAAAGAACTTTCCTCAAATTCACGCAGAGGATAATAATGCGCTCTTACGAGACGTTTGCTACACTTGCACTGATAAAATGAGGCTGTTGTCGACTTAATCTTGCTGGCAAGAACCGGTCTGATAAGTCAATGCTGACGATAGCTCGCAGGCATGCATACGATGAATTTTATAAATGTGGAAAGTTGATGGTTCCAAACGGGACCATCCGGCATGAAAGGGTTAAAGCGATCGGCGTTCGTTGAAGTTCATGTTCGTCGCATCCGACCAAGAAATGTTATTGCCGATGATCCAATGCATAGTCAACATTGACGCGTTAAAAATCAACATCACGAGGACATTGCCCGGTCAACGTTACAACATATGTCGGGCGAGACATTCAAACAAAGAAGGTTCCCGGACCCCAAAGTGAGATGGCGACGAATCGTCAACGCAGCGCGGTGCTTAATATTTTCCCCACTGCCGACACCGCAGGAGGTATTTGAATTCCTGGATACATCTGACGAAAGAGGTAACCCAACCCAATAAGCCCCAGGGTAATTCTGACCCTGGGAATGAAGAAAATAAAATTCCTAAAATATATCGTGTGGGCCGAGAGGTAATCCATGGAGGGATTACAATGCATCTATTGTCTGCTATCACTATTGTACTCTTGCTTCCGCGAGACTGGGATGCCTCTGTCTGATCTCAGTGAGATCGGAGAGGGGCTTCTCTAATTTCGAGACTGAATGTTTGAGATCACGCTGATAATTTACGGAATAACTCAGCAAATGGCGTGTGAGCCTTTTTTTTGGCACATCTGCAATACATACTGAGACATTGTTGCGACCTATCTCATTTCAACATTGAGCCAATTTTGACTAAATGTGGCAACCAGTGTTCTTCGACATTGACTCACCATGGAGGATATTGAAACTTTAATGCCTTCACAACGATGCATCAATATTGCTGCGTAGACTGGGATACCGACGCAGTTGTAAAATAATGAAATTATCGATAAGTTGCAGTGGATCTTCCACCAGGCGGAAATTTGTCGAGCGTAGCAGCTGATGTCACCATATTGACAAGATTGAAGCCAAACTAACCACCAGATATTTATTACTGGCCAAAAAATCAAGCTAATGCAACCACTTGCAACATGCAAAAACGTCATTGTTCAGTTTTCCTCGCCACCTCGGAGCAAGAACAACGTTACGAACATTTTTTATTCTTTTTACTTCCACAAGCTAAGACCTATCACTCGAGTATCTCCAACCTGGAACCACGTTCACAATGTCATAGGTTGAAATGACCATGCGAAAGAATCCAGTTACATCTCATATGTGCTGGTGAATCCGATGAGATAGCAAAGAGCCGGATTCTGACGGCACCACTCCGGCCTAATGGCATCCGTTCGGATACCAAATTGTGCCATTCGCTCCGTTTGATGCGTGATTCGCCACTCAACTTCCAGCCAGCGTCCTTTTGGGTTGCTCCAATATCTTTCAGCTGCTGCTGCACTTCTCGGCCATACTTTGCCCTCCAAACTCTGGTTGTGTACCTGGAACAATCATATTTGAATCGAACATTCCTTCATTCAACCATTATTCCGTACGCCAGAAATACATATTACAATGAAGAACTTTGTTTCAAGTGGAAAAGGACTTACGGTTTCTGTCCATATTATTGATTCACCTCCCAAGACTAAGTCTTTCACAACTTCCGGATCTATTTCGCCAGCTGTCAAATTAAGGGTAATATTGAGAAAATCATTCTCATAGAAGGCTTGCCAACTTTTGTAGGGGGCGCACCAATTGAGCTTTTCTGGTGGACCCAACCAATGTCCATAACCACAGTCAAGGTATGAGGCTTCAACATTTGACATGATGATTTTGAAGCCATTTTTTAGAATATGTTTGAGATGCTCCTTATTTTGCTCAATTGTCATGTTTTCCCATACTTGAATGATATAATCATCCGGATTCAAGTATTGGGTTAATGCCCCAGGTCCAGTAAGATGACTTGCCCAAAGCATCATGGGCTTGCTGGCGCCACCGTTTGCCTTCCTCAGGGCACTTGCAGCACTGCTTTGGAATTTTTCACCCCAGAGACGGAGGAAGTCGTTTTCTGTGAAGCCGGGGTAATTATTTTCGCTCATCCAGCTTTTGACCTCCTCAGACTCGTTCCAGCATTGAAGGACGACCTCGTCTCCTCCCATGTGGATGATATCCGTGTCGAACATTTGCAATAGGTCGCCATACACGTCCTCCAGCACCTGTGGAGGAAAAAAAAAGGCGTATGTACTCAAGGCTGATATGCAAAGAGCACAGTTATCAGAAAACACTATTGGCAAGCTTATGACGATCCGTTGTTCTCATTCGGCAACAGATCCTGTTGTTCGATCATTGCTCGATGATATTGACCTAGCATAAAAGTTACTAAGGTCTCATATTGGTAGTTGCAATACGCCAGCATTTTCACTTCATTCTTGCGAAATACTCGTAATGCAGGCGACATTGGACCCAATTTTGAATTGGCGTTGGACTAGGCATTATTGAAAGATGGAATTTCCTTGGCAGCAGTTGGGTCCATGGTTGATTCCATCTTTCCGCGTTTTAGGGCCGAAATTGCTGAGTCTTCCTGAGCTTGCTTACCACTTTTGGCAAGTTCATTTGGGAGTTTCTTTCCATGTTTTTCCCTGTCATTTGTTGGGAAAGAGTACCGAATGAAACCGACTGTGGAAACCATGCTTGTTCGAATATTGACAGATGGTTCGACCTCTACCCTTTTGAGAGAGTCATTCAGATAATTGTTAGATATTCCATCTACAAATGAAGGCGAAACGGCTCAAACACGTTCATTTCGTGAACGCACTCCTTTTAGGTTGATACCACAAGCTTCGTCCCGTTGTGTTCACAGCGGCACTGCGACCCCTTCGAGAGGCAGCAGGAAGACACGAGCGGTTGTGAAGAGCAATCTCTTCATGGCTCAAGTACAGTGGTACCTCGCATAACGAACGCAATTCGTTCCAGCGGTGCGTTCGTTATGCGAGGTGTTCGCGAGTGAAAGTGAAAAATTTTTTCCTAATTTCCTTGATTTTTCGCGGCGACGTGGAACGGNAAAGTGTATCGTGCAGCAGAAGTGAAGGAAATAGTGGAATACTCGAGGGTGCGTGGTGTACGAGTCATCCCAGAAATAGACGTACCGACTCACGTAGGAGAAGGGTGGCAATGGGCCATCGAGGAGGATCTTGGTAACCTTACGCTGTGCATTCGTATTGAGCCGTGGGAGAAATATTGTTTGCAACCTCCTTGTGGCGTCGTCAACCCAGTCAACGAAAAACTTTATGAGGTGAAGTATTTGACAATCCTCGTCTTTCCTTTTAAGAATCCTGAGAACTCTATGTTTTCAAACTTTAGGAATATGAGAGTTACATGGGGGTGGGGGGGAGGGCTGTACGATGAGGGACAAGGTGTTTCGGGTTTACAAAGTTGGGAATGCTCTTAGCATTCCCAATGTTTGATATTAAATGGAATTAGGAATGGCGACATGAAATAACATTTTTCCAAATAGTACCTTTTTCACGACGAGAGGAAATTATCTTGAGAATTATCTAGAAGAATCTTGGGTCACACAATGCAAAGCGAAATAGTTTCTAAGCTCAATAGCCAAATTCTTGAATGCAACTCTGGAGCATGAACGAAATGCATGTTTCTTGGAGTACCTGCTGGATAAAGAAAGGAACCTCCATTTGAACTCAGTTGAATAATTGTTTCAAAAACGCAATCGATTATAAATGTAATTGCCGAAACTTTCAATTTGAGAACGGAGTGAAGTACTCCTGCTGGTCGCGGAGTAGAGGAAACATTCGAACTCTGTCCCTCCGGATCATCAAGACCACGTCGAACTTTTCTTCCATTTAAATTCATTCTTTGGGTTGTCCTGATTAGGTGATATTCTCATCGGCGAGCCCACCAAGTCAATATTTACATCTGTCAGGGAGAGGATCTGGGCTCTGGACACGTTTTCGTAACGAGTCAAGGCGAGAACGTAGTCTTCGGGTGTGAATAGATTCAGGTCAAGGGATGGGGATTCAAACCTTATTATTATTTCAACCCTGTTTCCGAGAGCTTCCCCTTCAGGTTTTTGTTCAATATTCCACGGGTAATATCTCTTAATGATATCCAGGAATATGTCTCTCGCTGCGTAGGTGGCAATCCTCAACTCGTTGTCCTCGGGGCTGGTGTCAAAAGGCGTGAGAAAGGTCACATTTTCAGGCAGGAAAGGTACCACTGACTTAGAGAGGATCGTTTCACCAGTCGGTTTTGGCCAGAGTCCGCCGTACTTTCCACACGTAAGTGTGCACGCCGCCAGAGTTTGGTATTCTGAAGGATTAAGTTCCTTTTTTGGCAGTCTTGAACACAGGTCTTTCTCGCCGCATATCCAAGTCCAGGGGGAGGCAGATCTAGAATGCAATGAATCTGATTGTAAGCAGTAATAGTTTCTTTGGCGATTGCGTTTGTCGCAATCGGGACTTGACTTACCGGAACCGGTTGTCTGCAGTTTCTGCTCTGCGATTTGTCCATCCCATGATGAGCACGGTGAGGCTTAATACGCGAAAACTTGATAACACCATTTTTTGGAAGTGAGCAACAAGCGAAGCCAAGAGTTGCTACGTCGAATGGATGCTTGTTTCGTTCCAAGTGCCATTTCTCTCCACGGAGAAGTTATTCATTCATTGGAAGTTAACATCAATCTCGTCCGATAAGAAATCTGAAGAGGAGGAAATACAGATAGAAGGTCCTCCAATGAGCGCTCTAAAACTCCTGTCCCTTCATCGTGTTGAGGAAGACCAGATTCTCTCAGCACACTTTATCTCTTGACAATTGAGGAAAACTCGCGAAAATATTTTCCTCCGGAATTTAGATGTACAATTAATGAATCAATCTCTCCAAATTCTTTAGATTTTTTAAAGAAAAAAAATCGCAATAATTTAACGATCCAAATAGCCACTCCATCATACGGTCGTATGCAGGTACGACACCATCTCATCTACATTGCCATTCATTTCTGTCCTTTAAGTTTGCTGCGCGCTGCAAGTATCAAATCTTTTCCATAACTTTTAGGCTTTCCTCATTTAATTTTGATGCTTCAGTTGCATCTAGACTCTTACTGTTGCGATGAAATTTCATGTTGAGAATTGTCGCATGATGGATTCAGTAGTGGAAATCCTTCATTTTCCGCAGTTTACGATTGACTATTTCCTCAAATACAGGTAAAATCTCGTTGTAACGAATACCGCTGTAACGGAATTTTCAGTGTAACGAATTTTTTTTTTAAGTCCCTCCAGGTTCGCTATAACGAGATTTTACCTGTACCTGTTTTCGGAAATTCTTGAAAGGATTTGATGATGTCCAAACAGCATTTATAATCTGCCTCACTCGAATATTGATAACTGTTCTCGGATAGGAAACTTATCCTGGGATGGCTCCCCATTCTCACTCGAATTCTGGCCTTGGTTCACGTGAAGGCATTTTCTCGATGAAGGGTTGCAAGGGGAAAATAGAACCATGTGCCTGCAGGGGTTCCCGGGGTGAAGCGACAAGAGCATCCTCCAGGATGTATCCCATCAATATGGAGTTCCTGCTGAGATCGTGCGATGCAATATGGCGATTGGAGGTCGTTCAAGTTCCTGAGAGGCCCAAATCTATTTCGAGGTATGCTTTCAATAGCCTGCCGCATTTATGACTAGGAGCGATGTGAAAATTTTCAGCCTAAGTGAAACCAGAATGTCTTAGCGATTTAATTGAGGTGACGCTAGAAAGAAACCATGATCGTTCGGAGTAAAGACGTAACTTTAGGAATAATGAAAACTGTTCTGACCTTGTTAACTCGCGATCCAACCGATAGAAGCTTTTACGAAGGGTTATAATTCATTCTTGGGGAGGAACTTAGCCTTATAAGAGGTTATTAAACCCACTTGTTGCATCAGCGATATTTTTAAAAAGTATTCTTTCATTCCCCCTGTAATTGGGACAGGTATAGTGCAGGATGCACCACATTCCACCAAGAGGACGAGATGAACTGAGTTGTCCTGTCAAAGCCGTATGTGGAGATAGATGAAGTAGGAAATGATTCGCCCATGACAACACATTACCACCCAGACTTGGATGTACGTATTCTGAGAGCTTATTGACGTAAGATCCAGGAAAGGATTGGAAAACGCAACTCGAAGTTGAACCTTCAACAAAGGTTTCACCAGGTCAGACTACTATAAAGCACCTTCTAAAGTCAAGTCAAGAGCAGTTCTCGGTCTCTTAGATCTCTGTTATCATGAATGAAGCAAAGAAGTTCCAGTGCTCAACTCTAATCTCACCAGTTGATTGGCTCTGTTGTTGCTGGAGTGGCTGAAGTTTTCTGAGCGAGTTGTTCCTTGTCAATTATTTACCCTTTCCATGAGAGGGAACCATACCTTCTGAATTCCAATCATGAATCCGTACGAAAATCTTAAATACATTTTAAAAATATATCATTAATTACCTTTCTTCCATTTCTTGACATCTTCATCGAGGTTGCATTACCCGTCCAGGTAGAACATCACTGCCCATTTGATGTAAATCAGTGAAGGTCTTGGTCGTGTCGAGGATGAATGGGGTCCGATTGAGATTCAACTGCATTTAAAGTAGGTAATAATAATTGCGTTGTTGACAAAGATTTCTCTGCTTGAGGACGACATTTCTAGAGTCCTCGTTAGCATTTTTTTCCCTACAACCTGTGAAACACTGGTCTTCTTTGCTTTCCACACTCGCAAAGTCTTTGGTTCGTATGAAAGTCCTGATATCAGAGGATGCAATATAATATTTATGAACCTTCACGGTAATTTGAATATGAATGCAGCATCAGGTGGTTGTCCCGCGAAACAATAGACGATTCATTCTCCTGTCAAGCCGATGCATAATTCATATTTTGTCTATCAAAAGACTACATCATGACTTGATGGTGAAATTATCTCGTGACTGCAATATGGGTCTACAAATTCATTGAAATGTCTTCTTAGCTCTTCCTGCGCGATATCCAAGCAACTCTTGGAGTTTCGGTGCCACCACATTTCATCATCATCATGATTCATGCCATCCTTTCGAAATAACCCAAGAATTGAGATAAAGGCATGTGGCCTCCACATTACTGTGATCATCAAATCAATTAGAGACGGATCATTCTCGTTCTTTCGTTGCCGATTTCGAAACTATCTCGGCGGGGAACCTGACGTCAGTATAGGCAGGACTTTCCGAAAAAGCCCATGAAGCACCGCAGGTACGAATGAGTCGGAAGGCTCGAGGCATTTCCAACGAGAGATGGAAATCTATAAATATTTCACATCATATCGATACCTAATGCCAACAGAAAGAGCAATGAACGGACGTCATATGCTCCTATGGGCTCCGTTTCATGGTCTCATCTGGTGATAAATCAACGCCTGTGCAGGAATGGAACCTTCGTTTCAGGCTGCCACGTGGTGGCAGTTTCGACGCGGCTCGGATATCGAGGCGAGATATCATAATCGACTGCATATTAAATGCCTATATTATGTGACGTGATGAAAGCCAGAGCTTCAATGCAGCCAACCAGCTAAGAAAGCCCAGAGAAAAATGGGGAGAAAAAGCTAGGAAAACTTAAAAGTCCGTCTACAAGAATGGTGGTTGAACGACTCTAGTAGACAACGAGAATTCAACTAGGACTTTCATCTGGAGTAAATTAAACTATGGGTTTGATTGCTGTTCATGATTGTCGCATACTGACACAGTTGCTAACTTGCAAAATTACATAAATTTTTCAGTGGATCCTCTTCCGGGTGAGATTTAATCAATCTAAATAGCTGATGAAGTGAGCGTAGTGACAAGACAGTGGCTTAATTATCGGTAAAGTATTATAGTCTACAGAAAGCTCAAGCAGTTTGAAAGCGAGAAAAAACCTTCAAACTTCCGGTTGTCCAACATATGATTTCGCTGCAAGGATAGTGTGATTTTCGTGACGATCTGAGATGGATTATACTTCTACGCAAGATTGTACTAATTTCTTTATTATATTTATTGTAGTTTCATTCTGACAAGCTAATAGGGTTCATTCGAGCAAGTGATAAGAACTTTTGGACACATTAGGGATGTCACATTGAAACTATTAATACCGGCTTCTAATAACGTATTTTCTGCACAAATATTTCGAAGTTGAGAAACTCGAATTGTTGACCCCATCCTGCATCCCCTTTCGAGATCAAGTGGATAACCTCGCGACATGAAATCAAGTAGATATCTGTCGTTCCGGCAAGGTGCTATTCTTCAGATAACAAAGAGCCGAGTTCTGGTGGCACCACTCCGGTCTAATGGCATCCGTTCGGATGCCAAATTGCGCCAATCGCTCCGTTTGATGAGTCAATCGCCATTCAACATCCATCCAAGTTCCTTCTGGGTTGCTCCAATATCTTTCAGCTGCTGCTGCACTTCTTGGCCATACTTTACCGTCCAAACTGTGGTCGTGCACCTGGAACGAACATATTTGAACCGAATATGGCTTCATTTAACTATTATTCCGTACTCCATTAGTACATAAATGAAGAACTATGTTTCAGGTTGAAGAGAACTTACGGTTTCTGTCCATATGATTGATTCACCTCCCAAGACTAAGTCTTTCACAACTTCCGGGTCTATTTCGTCAGCTGTCAACTCCAGGGAAATTTTAAGAAAATCATTCTCATAGAAGGCTTGCCAACTTTTGTAGGGGGCGCACCAATTGAGCTTTTCTGGTGGACCCAACCAATGTCCGTAACCACAATCGAGGTACGAGGCTTCAACATTGGACACGATGATTTTGAAGCCATTTTCGAGCATATGTTTGAGATGCTCTTTATTTTTCTCAACTGTCATGTCTTCCCAGACATGAATGATATAATCATCCGGATTCAAGTATTGGGTTAATGCCCCAGGTCCAGTAAGATGACTTGCCCAAAGTAACATGGTCTTGTTGGCCCCACTGTTTGCATTCTTCATGGCAGTAGCGGCACTGCTTTGGAATTTTTCACCCCAGAGACGGAGGAAGTCGTTTTCTGTGAAGCCAGTGTAATTATTTTCGCTCATCCAGCTTTTGACCTCCTCAGACTCGTTCCAGCATTGAAGGACGACCTCGTCTCCCCCCATGTGGATGATATCCGTGTCGAACATTTGCAATAGGTCGCCATACACGTCCTCCAGCACCTATATATTACAATAATAATCATTTTGTCACGCGTGTCCTGTTACGCATACAGTACAGTCACGAGAGTAGTTATATGGAGAATCATCAAATAAGCTTGGTGTTGTATGATAAAGGTGTGGAGAACCTTCAAAACGTTGTTGCTTATTGGGAGTTTTTAAAATTGGGTCTACATTTGATATATTATGAATGTCCTTATTTCAGACGTGGAAGAGATCAGCTGTGTATCGACACTAAGATACTGATGAAAATCCTTATTATCTGAAGAGATTATAAGGATTCAAAATTCAAAATCTGCTGGTCAAAATCTCCCACATTCATACCTTTCAAAGTTTTGGGGGGTAAATGTACCTATGTTAATATTGGGCACCACGAGACAATACGGTCAGAGAAGGCGAAAGCTCTCATGTCTAAGCCTAAGATAGCGCACGGTAATGTTGCCAGCCAGTTTTGGGGAGGGTTAGAGAATTTCTATGGGATCCTAAGCAGTTGTAAGGATTTTGCTTCGTCCGTTAAAATCACAAACTGCAAGGTGTAGAACTAAATTTTAAGCTTGCAGACGAATTCACGGTCACGGTCGCAAGCAGCAAAATTTTTTAAATAATCCAATAAACCATACCCTCCCAACATATGATCTTACGCCTTTTAACAATGCACTGAAGGAACGCTAGCGATGTGGGCAGGCGTGCCTACGCCTGGGTGTGTTATCTCAGATATTCACACTGAACCGTGATCATGAAGAGGAGGCAGGGGGTCAAGGACACCGCCCCCTCCCTCCTTCAATTTTGACGTGGCATTTTCTACGAATTTTTTATGAGAACTAATTTCTTAGCTCATGTAAATCCATGTAAATCAATGTGACGATCTAACCTCACTCCGATCATCTTTACTCCGTTTACACCGAGGATCGGTGGCCGAATGGTTCTGACTTCCGCGTGGCAACCCGGGAGACGAGGGATCGAGTCCGTGTGGCGGCGGGCTCTTCCAACCGCTTCCATGAGGAGTGTCTGCTTAGCGTGGGATAACACACATGCCGCTCTGTGTGCCACGTCTAGAAGATACGGTGCAGTTCACCTTAAAAATCACTCGTGCCAGTCACGGGCTTAAGCAATCCGTGAGCTGCCCCTTTGGCCTCCTATAGACCGACAAGGGGTATCCCAGCCTGAGGGACTGTGATATGGTTGTGGTGCCCGTGCCAAGCGGGCACCCCCTTCCTCTCTGTGTACTGTAATAGGTCCGTTGTCGTTTGTGTCCGCCGCATGTCCTGTCTTAAAAAAAAAGACGCTTTACTCCGTTTACATTGCATATGTGGCCACACTCTACCAGCAGTCAGAAGAGATGAATTTGAATCAGTAGTTCATACGCTACATTCTTCAGGTCATATTCTTCAAGATCTTCTTACTTGATTTGAAAAGTGAGATGCCCAAAAACCAGCCCGTATTACCAAGGTTGTCCAGAATATCTTAGAATATTGCCAACATTGCTTACCCGATGCATACGTTGGGCCCACATCGTCCTTCAACGTACAGCTCCTCCAAAGTCGCTCGCATTTTCCCAACGTCGGGCAAACATTGAGTTTTCTGAATTCTAGTTCTTAACACGAATAGTATCGAATATTTACCTCATAAAGTTTGAGCAACTGACCCAACTGCTGCGGTGTTCCTCCAACGTTTGTTATAAAGAGGGTGCCGAGTTATGCTTACGTGTCGCATTCCAATGGTTCTAGGAGGAGCTACCGGGTAACGGTGGGAAGAGGATGCAGAGTCGGTACGTCTATTTCTGGGATGACTCGTACACCACGCACCCTCGAGTATTCCACTATTTCCTTCACTTCTGCTGCACGATACACTTTCCAAGGTGCATATGCACCGTATTGGCAGAATTTCGGGCGACTGTCCAGACAAATCGGGAAGCTTTGGGAATCTGTTAGGTGCCAGTGGAAGACATTCAGCTTGTTGCGAGACAGTCCATCGACGAATCGTTTCAGAGTATCGATGTTGTAGTAATTACGACTGGTGTCGAGCATGACTCCTCTGAATGGGAACACGGGACCGTCGATGATCATCGCAGATTCCAAGATCTGAAGGGAATCGTGAAGTTCGTCGTAGGCGATGAGTTGAGAGAGTGTTTCCAGGGCATGTCTGGCTCCATAGAAAGTCTGGGAGAGGATCTGGGCTCTGGACACGTTTTCGTAACGAGTCAAGGAGAGAACGTAGTCTTCGGGTGTGAATAGATTCAGGTCAAGGGATGGGGATTCAAACCAATAATAATAAAGTTGGGACAAAGGCTCTCGAAGGGGAAGTCCAAAAACAAGTTATAAGGTGCCCATTATAGAGAATTACTATAGGTCCTTATACAGAGAGCGACGCATCCACCGTTAGGAGTTGAGGTTGTCCTCGGGGCTGGTGTCAAAAGGCGTGAGAAAGGTCACATTTTCAGGCAGGAAAGGTACCACGAACTTGGAGATGATCGTTTCACCAGTCGGTTTTGGCCACAGTCCGCCGTACTTTCCACACGTAAGTGAGCACGCCGCCAGAGTTTGGTATTCTGAAGGATCAAGGTCGTTTTTTGCCATTCTTGAACACAGTTCTTTCTCGTCGCATATCCAAGTCCAAGGCGAATCAGATCTAGAATGCAATGTATGCGATTATGAAACTAACTGTAGCCATATACATGTACTTTGACAATTGCACCTGCAATCATTTATATTTTGGACATGTCTTACCCGAACTGGTCGTCGACAGACTCTGCTCTGCGATTCGTCCATCCCAAGATTAACACGGCGAGGCTTAATAGGCGAAATCCTAATAACACCATGTTTTGAAAGTGAGCAACAAGCACAAGCGAACCCTAGAGTTGCAACGTCGAATGGATGCCCGTTTCGTTCTGAATGTCCTTTGTTTCCGCTAAGAATTTCTTCATTCATTTTGAGATGCGTCACTCTCGTCTGATAAGCAACCTCAAGGGGGAGGGGGGGGGGGGGGGGGGGGGGGGGGGGGGGTGGGGGGGGGGGGGGGGGGGGGGGGGGGGGGAGGGTAGAGATAGGAGGTGCTTAGATGAGCACTTATGCTCCTGTCGCGTTGCTGGCGGACAGGGTTTTTCCAACCAATTGGACAGATTTCCAGTTTCCCTGAATTTTAGAATGTTTTTTTTTTAGGAAAAAAGATTTAAACTTTATCTAAATCTAAGCTTATTCTAGATCTAAACTTTATCTAATCTATAAACGGTAACTTGGGACTGAGGCGAGGAACAGCAGACTCCCTTGGATGCTTTTAATAACGCTTTCTGGTCAAGTTTTGATAAAGTTCAGATAAGAGTTCAGATTTAGAATAAGTTTAGCATTGGCGAAAAATTCGCCCCCGGAAACGGCCTTCAACGCCTATGATACCATCGACCTCGACTATCATTAATTCGTTATATTTGCTGTATGTCACAAATGTCGAATCTTCTGTGACTTTTACGGTTTCCTCGTATAAAATTGTTGTGCTCCAATGGAAGTTAGGCTCCAGCTGTCTCAACGAAATTCGAAACCTAATGATCTGCGGGTAGAGGGGTTCGATGATGAAAACCTTGCCTGTTTGAAAAGTATTTTTAATTTACGCTGGTATTTTATTAGCAAATTTGTGACGTGAAAAAAGTGTGCTGCGCAACACTATTAATTACCTACTTCGTTCGAATATAGACAGCTCCTTTCAAAAAGGAAAATTTTTCTCGTGAGTAATTTTCGACTGAGTATGCACGATTGTGCCAAACCTTGTACTTGCGTGACTTGCGAATGAATTCGCACCATCTTTAACTTGGGCTCCACGGGCTTCATGAAATCTACCAGGGGAGATACACCCTCACCTTCTTGAATGCACCATAGAAATAATACTGCACAATGTATTAATAGAGGGCGATGCGAATTCATTTGCAAATCAAAGTAGTTGCGGATCGATAAATGAACTCTTTAGAATCACCCATGTCAAAGGCCAGGGCTTGGCACTTGCATGGTTCCGCTTTTATGGTACAAAACTTCTCCATGGTTATATCAAACTCGTGTTAATCAAACTATACTGGTTTTCTACTAATTTTGAGATCGAGTTTAGGGTCCAGTCATCTGCCGTTTGGACATTACAGTAAAACCAGGATGAGACGGACATTTGTCCATCTCGGAATATTTATGTGATCCCCTGAGTTTCCGATTTAGACAGGTGTCTTGGAGGAACAAGGAAGAATAGTGGACATCGTTGTCATCAAACTAAAGCTGATTCTCTTTATTTCTTCCTTCTGCGTGGTGTAACCACCACCGCCGTCGTCATCACAGATTTAAACATTACATAAACAGATAATGTAATGCGGCGATGAATTATCATCATCTACTAAACCACCAAGGAGAATTTAAAAAAACAGCAAAACGAACCATCAGCCACCAGCTTCTCGATGATGACGACGACGTCAGAACTCCTGTAATTATTTGAAAATTGTATGGGAAAACATGCTGGTCGATGGACTCTATAACACTTTCTCCTCTAATGACAGATTTCTTCCTTCCCAAATCCCTCCATAACTTTACTTCTATTTAGTCAGAATCCTTTGATTCACGCACCAATTGAGAGAGAGGAAGAAACAGAGTTTTTCTGCATTTTTTGCATTCGTATATGTCAATTTTCGGTTGAGAGCCATTAGCTGACATACTGAAGTTCTCTCACAGACTGGGTTTTGAGTGTTCGTGCATGGAGCCTTCGAAGCATCCGCCGCTACCCCTCGCCGTTAGTGTTCGCACAATCGGGAGCAATTGGGCTACGAATATGATTTTACAATTGGGCGACACATTAGGTTTGGTTCTTCTATAGATGTACCCGTACCTTGAGACCTGTAATAAGACTGGGTTTTTAAAGTTCCCATTCTCCCCGCGACACGAGACGTGTGGGGCAATTTCGGTATGGTAGGACATGTACGAGGTCTAATCAAAAGTTCTAAGACTTCTAAGACACCAACAGTGCTCGCGGCGCATTCGTAATGCCGTTTTAAATGTTCTGAGATTTCCTTTCTTTTGCGATTTCAGCAGTTTCTGACCTACCCCGCAATCCCGTGCTTCATCAGCCATCCAACTCGTCGGGGTTTAGTTCCTAGTAATTTATTTGTGTTCCCCAAACTAAAGAATGTGCTGAAATGAAGATTTTAGGCATTCAAAGCAAAATTGTAAACGCGACGTGAGCGCTGCTGGTGATTCCAAAAGATGAGTGTCAGCAATACTTCCAGTGGCTGAAGAAACGCCGAAAATTTTGTGCAGATGCCTAAGAGGACTAGTTTAAAGGATATAACTATCTGCAGTCGGAAAGTCACCACAACGTCATAAAAAATTAAGTCTTAGAACTTTTTGATCAGACCTCGTATTCTGGGTACTGGTATGTCGAAAGATAACCAGTTTAGCAGGTCAGAACGGTTACGAGTTGACAGAATTGGAGCGCACAGCAGGCGAGTCAGATAGGTGAAGGATCGGCTCTGAGCAGCTGATCAATTTCAGTCTCTCTTTACTGGTCGTCCTCAGAGCTCCGAGGAGTGTACTGGGCCAAATTCGCAGCAGGAAACGGACGACCCATCAACATAACAGGAAAAAACAAGTGGCCGTCTGTGGTCTTGGCTGGTAAGTCACTTTATGAGATCTTCCTGATGAGTACATTATCTACTTTGCATGCCTCTTGCATAGTTGAGGCCTACCCTGCGATTCAGGCCTAGCCAGGTTTCTCCTTGCCGTTTGCTCTACTGACTATAAGAAGACCTTGTCTGAGTATCAAGTTCATACTGTCACATAATTCGAGTCTTTGATTTGGCTTGCAGGAATCTCACACCTGGAAAATAACTTAATAAAGAGATTGATTCTCATATTTTTGACCGATATATGTAATATTGCAATCATTCATAAATCTCAGTGTTACAAGGTTTTTTATGCTTAGGCCTAAGCTAATATGAATTAGTAGCCTCATATAAGGTTTGTAGGACAATTTGCCAGACGACTGTCATGGTTTATGGGTGTTGAACCTACTTTGCTATAGATCCAATATTCCTGCAAGAAAGTAAGAGACATTTCAGAATATTAAAGAGGTTCTTCTTGCTTGAGAAAGAGCTATATTGAAAGGCAAGGATGATCATGGCTAGGCTGTCTTGAACACTGATTTGAAAAAAATGAACCATCTATATATGGAGCAAGGCAAATATCTTGAAAAATCAGGGTTTTTTTGCAGGCATGTAGGGCATCCTGCAGCAAAGGGAAATTTGAGTTAACCAAGAGGCTGCAAGGCACTCCAATAGCACTGCAAGTGCTAATATATGAGAACAATGCTGATGTGCTTCAACTCCCTAGTGATTCTTGCTGTCATTGTATTCTTTATCCAAGTCTTCACTCTTGGACAACAGAAGGAATTCAGGTACGCAAGATTATTAAAGTAGAACTGTTGGTCTTCCTGTTGTAGTGGCATTGATCTCTACATCATTGTCATGTAATCACCAGGGCTGCCCAGAGGTTTCCAGGGGTCCAGGGCAAAATTAAGCCAGAGGCCCCTTGGGGGCCCCTTTGAAGCCCTCCTTGGGACCTATCAATACCTGAGGCCCAGGGCAGATTGCCCCCTTTGCCCCCCCCTCTGGGCAGCCCTGGTAATCACTGATACATTTTGATTCTATGAGTAGTGGATCAGTATTGGGAATGAAAGTAGAAAGTTAATTGGTGTGCACTTTAATTCTTGCAGGAGTAGGTCCATATGGTCATGGGAATGCAAAGGAGAACCAGGTCAAGAGCAGTGCACAAAACTGGAATCCAGTTCAGAGTCATCTCAGACCCTTGAAACATGCAAGCTCACCTGTGGAAGATATGGAGTTCTTTGGCCAAGACCCAGAGGCCATGTTACTCTGTCTAGCAAGACTGTACCAATCCATCTGAAGAGCATCAAGTTTGTTAAGTGGATAACAAGTAATGAAGCCTTCAATGAAATGGAGGAGGAAATCTTCAAAACATTTCAGAAAAACTTGGAAAAAATAGCTCTTGGAACAGCAAGATGTCAAAGTGGTTTAATTGATACAGTTCATGCTGGTTTGGAAATAAGAATCTCTACTGATTCCAGCTGTATTTCTTTAAATAGCAAAACCAATGAATCATATGATCTACTGTTGGAAAGAAAGGATGATCTCAATGTGAGAGCACACATGAAGGCTACAACATTGTATGGCATCAGGCATGCCTTTGAGACACTGTTGCAGCTTATAGCCGTAGATGAAATTCATGACTGCCTTCAAATTTTGGAATCTGCCAAAATAGCTGACAGCCCTGCATATGTCCATCGTGGTGTGTTAGTGGACACTAGTCGAAACTTCATCAGTCTGAAAACCTTGAAGCTTGTGATTGATGGTCTGTCCTACAACAAAATGAATGTTCTTCACTGGCATGTGACAGACTCCCAGAGTTTCCCTTTGCAGTTGCCACGAATCCCAAAATTGAGCCAATATGGTTCATATTCACCTAATATGGTGTATAGCCCAGCTGATGTGAAGGAGTTGGTGGAATATGCAAGAAGTCGTGGTGTTAGGATCCTTCCTGAGCTGGATACTCCAGCCCATGTAGGTGAAGGATGGCAGTGGGGCCCAGATGCTGGAATGGGTAACCTGGCTGTATGTATCGGGAAGGAACCATGGCAGAAGTACTGCTATCAGCCTCCGTGTGGTTTACTGAACCCTGTCAATGAGAATTTGTATCCTGTAAGTTGACTGTTGACATTTACCAGCATTTTTGATTTTAAGTTATCCTGCAATATCCCCCTGAATATTAGTAATGGAATGAAGTCAATGAGTTCATCACTTTTGTTTTTGCATTGTTCTTGTTTGCATCTGATCTTTGTCCTTGTTAAACTGACAGTCCTTGACTGAATATGGTTGGCATGTTTCAGGTGCTGAAAGACATCTACACTGATATGCTGAAGATGTTTGAGAGTGATCTATTCCATATGGGTGGAGATGAGGTTCTCTTTCCTTGTTGGAATGAAACAGAGGAGATCATTGAGTGGATGCAGACCCAAGGATATGAAAAGGAAGATTTCATTCGATTATGGGCAGAAAAGTTTCAGAAAACTGCCTATGACAAACTCACAGAAGCCAATGCAGATGTGAAAATGCCTGTAATCTTATTCACTAGCAAGCTAACAGAAAATGAAAGAGTTGAAAATTACCTGCCCAAAGAAGACTATATTATTCAGACATGGGAGGACAGGGATAACATTGGCCGCTATGCGCACCTCATATCAAAAGGCTACAGAATGATCTTCTCGAATTATGATTCATTATATTTGGATTGTGGCTATGGCCCATGGGTTGGAGGAGATGGTCAAAATTGGTGTTCACCATACAAGAGTTGGCAAAGAATTTATGACAATGACATTTTCAAGATAGCCATGAATGTTACTAATTTCACACTCCCAGAAGAAGCTGTCAGGAGTCAAGTCCTTGGGGGAGAAGCATGCTTGTGGACTGAAACCGTAAGTGTAGCCAAATTTCTCTTATTTGTTTTCATGTTCACTGATCCTATTTTCAAGATGAATGCCTGTAACTCAATTTTGTATTTTCTGGCTTCTAGTATTTGAGTGGTATGCTGAATCAAGATTTGGCTGAAAATCATTTTTTGCACCAGTGTTTTGCCTACTAATGCTCAATTATGAAAGGATTTCCTCTTTTAGGCAAGTGAGGGGAGCCTTTTGAGCAAAATCTTCCCAAGAAGTGCAGCTCTAGCAGAACGTTTGTGGACAGACCCTTCTTCAAACTTCACTGAAGCTGAAGTGAGATTGGTGCATCATACAACACGTATGATGCAACTGGGGATTTCTGCTGATGCCATCCAACCCCTTTGGTGCTATCAAAACCCTGGCCTCTGCTATATTTTCCCATAAAATTTATTGATATTGATGGCATGTTTTGCCATGAACCATCTTTACTTTGATGTGTGATCATGTTGTTTTATATTTTTTAACTATAATTATTTTTCATCGCTCAATAAATGTGCTGGAAGTACATTCAATATTATTTAAGCTCTCCAGGTATCAGGTTGTAACATACATTTTGCATGATGCACCCATCGACAGGTTCGTGAGGTTTTATCGTGAAACTGTGCGCATGCGGTGTATGATGTCCTCTAATGATTTGTTTGCATTCTAGTGATTAGCTTTTCTATGAATTTTGATGAGTTTACATCGCGCCATTTCATTTTATTGAATAAAAAAGATGGAAGTGATGGAAGAGGATATTCCACATGTGATGCTATACGAGTTCCAGAAAGGGAATAATGGTGGTGAATCCGCAAGAACATTCAAAGTGTTTATGGAAAAGATGTGAGTGAATGGATGTGTAAGAGATGGTTTGGGAAGTTTAGAAATGGAAACTTCAGCTTGAAAGATGAACAATGAACAGGACGACCAAATGAGTTAGATGATGAGTTACTGAAGGATACAGTTGAGGAAAACCCTACTGCAACTGTAAGAGAAATTGGCCTAAAACTCAATGTAATCCATATGACTATTCATCATCATTTAAAATGGTTTGGAAAAGTAGTGAAGCTTGGAAAATGGATTCTGCATGATTTGTCACCAGCAAATCATCAACACTGAATTGACATTTCCACATCACTGCATTCTCCTCAACTCCAGGCACCGTTTTTGGATTGGATTGTTACTGGGGACGAAAAATGGGTCCCTTATAACAATATTAAGTGTTGTCATCAGTGGCTTAACCTTGAAGATAAGGCTAAGCCACAGCCAGGAGATGGGCTCCATCCAATGAAAATGTTGCTATGTGTTTGGTGGGATATGCAAGGAATCAATCATTTTAAGCTGTTGAAAGCGAACCAAACCATCACGGATGAAGTCTACTGTCAACAGCTCCAACGATTGAAGATGGCATTAGAATGAAAACATCCTGCATTAATCAATTGCAGAGGTGTTTTGTTTCACCAGGATAACGCGTGCCCTCACAACACTCGAATCACCTCTGCCCAACTGAAGGAGTTTGACTGGGAAAAAATGCCTCACCCACATTATTCCCCAGACATAGCACCTTCAGACTACCATCTATTCAGAAGTTTGCAAAATCATCTAGATGGAAAAAAAACTGCATTCCCAGGAAGCTGTCAAAAATGTAGTGTCCTCATTTTTTTTATTTGAAACCCAGGGAATTCCTCAAACTTGGCATTGAAAAACTTGTGGACACGTGGAAGGAGATTATAGACAGAGAAGGGAATTATATTGATGATTAATTTTTCATTTATATTATTGAATTTTTATTTTGAAAATAATAAAAAGTTTGAGCAAAATATATGTTACAACCTGATTCTACAGAGAGAATTTAATGAAATGGCATTCTCAGTATTACACAGATGGACAAACAAAGAGAAGAATGCCAACCACCCAAAACCACATGAAATAAAGTAGAGAGGTTGAAGTAGTTCAGCCAAAAAGTAAGAGACTGTAAAAGTAACACAAAGGCTCCATAGGCTTTGAAAATGCAAAATAAGTGGCATAAGACTCTCTCAACACTCCACCCTCAAAAAGAACTGGATATGCTCATAAGACAGAGAATAGAGAATTTTCTTTGTATCAAATCAACCCTATCTGAGAGGTTTGTGTCACCTATTTTCAGGATAATATTAAAATAAGTTGGTCTGTTGCCAGCTATGATGCAAGGTATTGCTCATGTATTGGATGCGGCGACCTCCTTTGCTCTGCAAAATCCATCCCAACCACCTTTCCACTGCAGGATTCATAAGAGTCTGCATGAGCTGTGTGTGACCAATGAGGTCTGGTTCCTATGGAAATAAAATCCTCATTGGATATAAGCCACAGGTCTCACCAACTTGACTCTGGTTGACATCTACATGAAACATAGGGTATTGATTCTGAAGAGCAGATCAGAATATGGGTAAGGGATGTGGTGAGATGAGAGGTAATTAGTTGCCCTTTATCCAAGGAGAACAGGGTATTGTCTGTATTTGTGGCTCCATGGTCTGAAGCTTAAAGCAAAGATACTCTTGGCAAGTAGTTGCTAGTGAGTTCTTTCCAGTAAGTGTGCATTTATTATTCTAGCAGTTTGACCTGTCAGAGAGAAGGGAAAAACATAATAGCAGTTAAGTTTCCTTAATTACAAAAGCAGCTATTGTAACTTTATTATTAAGACATAGCCTTCACCATACATAAAAAATTCTTTAAGAAATTCCTTGAAATACACTAACATCATTCATGTAGTGTTGCAGTGTCAAGAAGTGTTTGTTACATTTTTATCAGATAAGCACTTTGTGCCCCTATGCTATTGGAGTCTGCAGATATACTTAGGGTTTCTATAACAAGAACAGTAAAATTTAAACATTTGTCAAAGTTGGTCAAAAGAGCTATTTGTGCTGTGTAATTTTATATCTGATGTGTGTATGTATACCTGTATCCCATTTTAACATGAAGTACTTGTACTAAGTATTTTCACATATAAAAATGTAAGCCTTGAATTAAATATTTAGAAAATGTGATTAAGTACAAAATGCAGATGAAATTTATTCAAAAGTGGGACACCCATACAGCACCAGTGCATCCCAAGGAGGTCCAAGAGATATCCCTCAGGGAAAATGGAAAGTCCCAAAAATAATTTTTATGAACATATGAAGGTCATATCTGGCCATATGGGAATACCAAGGATGACTGGTTCTCATTGAAAGATCCTTTTTTTCCATCAGAACAAGTACATCCAACGTAGGACACCCTCTGGAGGCAAGGAAGACTTCTCATATGTGACTTACAGGAATATTTTGGTCATAGAAATGTATGGGTGAAGGGAACATATATGAAAACAGATTTCTGATGAAATTGAAATCCTTCTCTATTGATCATATTGCTTCAAGTGCCAAATCTGAATCATATATTTAATTTCACATTAAAAAGGACATATCCACTGATGCTAATGGTACCACCAAATAGTAATCCTTTGGCTATGAAAAAAACCAGAAAAGCAATCAGTCTACATGGCACAAACATGTGGCTCATTTTATATTAGGCCCATAGCAAGAAATTCATATGGATGGAAGTTGATGAAGTTCTAGATTCATGTTCAAAAAATAAAACTTGAGTTGCATAGTTAAACCATAAGATCTTTGTTAGGATGCAACACCTTTATGGGGGTGAAGAAGAAAAGGCCAGTCAGCACATCAACTTCTGCTCTGATTGTTCAAATTATAGAAGCGAAGGTTAATCGAAGAGGTAGGATTTTATTCAAACAATCTTCCAAAATCCAGTTTATATATTCAGAGGTCTTTCATGTCCTAACTCCACAGATGTGTTTGCTGTGAACAAACTGCCTCATTGTTATCCAGAAAGTTTTCTTGAGATAAATTTTGCTCCAAAGAGGGTTTCATAAGGCCCATCATTTAAACAGTTTTGAGTTTACTGTTGTGCCCCAGACCAATCAACTGCCAAATTGAAATGCTCAATTCATTCACCAATGTGCTTTATTTGCCGAAAGTTAACAATTCCTAAAAAGAGCAGGCCAAAAACAACCTTTCAAGGATCCCTCCATTAAATAATGAAAGGGGCTCAAGGCTTCCACTGATGATCCACTGCCTGGATATGCCATCTTGTCTTCAAAGACCATCACATGGATATTTAATTAGTGAAACTACGCACAATCATTTTCTATTCACCTACATGTTTGCGAGATTTGTGCCTGACACTTATCCATGATGACAATCTTATTACAGATTTAAGGCTTAAGTCACTCAATTAATAAAAATTCTCTTGCTGGACTGGTTGTTATAACTTAGTGAGACTCCCACACAAGCTTAGTGAGAATCACTGTAAAAATAACTGAATTTTTGGAAAACAGGAATGCATCATGAGAGAAGACTTATTGAGCACCCCTCACAAGAATGAAAGCAGCATAAAATATACATGAGTCATGGGAGGGAGTGGAGAGTGCAAGATGGCATCCTGTGACAGAAATTGTCTCTGGATGTCTATTTGATTATGAAATGGAGATGTGAGAAGAGAGAATTCTTCACCATAAGGCTTCCCATCTTCCTAAGATTGAAGAGAAAACTTTTAACTCAACCGTCAATGTAACTCATGATAGATTCAGAACAGTTCTGCTATATTATGAATTACTTTCAACAGATATTACTTAGTCCCCCCTCCCCCACTGAGTTAAAAAAAGAAGAAAGAAGAAAGGTCATACAGTCACAGGAGCAATGAGGCAGAAGGAACATCCATATCCTCCTCCAATCATAATGGGTTTATTCTTTGGAGGGAGTAATACTTTGGCAGGACTCAATATCATCTTCTCATGGCTTCCAATTCCACATGTGCCATGCTCATTAAAACCCCAGGACATCACTGTGTTATCCTCTGAAATTGAATAACATCTTAAGAAATTCACTAGAGCATCAACCACACTAAATTATTATGATTGATGCTATAACCAGTTTGTTTTCAAGTATAAGCATCTCAAGACTCACTCAAAGCGACTAGGCAATGCTCAGAACCACAGCACACTTTGGTGCATTTATTTGGCAGAATGACTTGAATGGAATGATAGTCTTGGTCCTCTTGAGTCAGCCGACCAAGTTGCCCATAGTTGTTGCGCCCCCATGTGTACACATTTCCTTCACCTGCAGCATGGAATATTCACTCCAAATAGTAATCACCTTTTGTAATAAGGGTCTAGAAATAAGTGGATTTCTAGGCCTGTTATACACATACATGTCAAGGCAATCCCATGGGTCCAACCCAGCTTCAAAGCAGTTAATCTCTCAGCTCCAAAGTGGTGATCAGGTACACAAACAGGTTCAGTGGTCTGCATAGATTACATAGTGAAGGTAAGCATCCAAATAATTTTTTTAAAAAATAGATAGAGAACTTACAATATCTTCCTTGGGAATACTGAGTGTCCCAAACTTGTTATCTCCAAAGGAATACACTTTCCCATTCTTGGCCAGAATCATAGTCGAATTTTGTCCACAGGTAACATCCTCACTCAGTGGAATGGACTGCACTAGAATACAAACATGCATTTTATACCAAGGAACTTTTTCCCACATTGACTTAATGTTTGAACTCAACAGGAAAAAAGGAATAGAAATAAATCCAGCTCTATTGAGTCAACATGACCCATTCAGAGTTCTTAGCTGGAAATTCAACTGAAGGGCACAACCTAAGTGAGTCATGGCTTTCAGTGCCTTAATTGCTTAAATCAACCCAATAGTTTTCACAACAAAACACTCATTTTATTTCTCAATGGTTTTTACTTTTGGCACTTGGGGTCCTAGTATACTTACCTATTAAAGTCAAACTTGTACCTAGACTAGTCACTTCCATCTTAGTCTAATGAAACCATGTCTTACTTGTTAAAGCTTTTTCAGTACTTCCCTGAAAGAACTTCACAGCACTCTCAATACTACCCAGTACTTGAGAACTCCAAAAGCAAAGGCAAGAACAAGAAAGATTGATTGGTATCTCATTCGTTTGAATCTGTTCAATAGTTTTGACAATAAGATTAACTATATAGAGCATCACCCCAAGAACATGCAGATCCCACAACCACATACTTCCAGACTTCCTCAAGTAGGCCAGCTATGTAATTAAAGATAAAATCTCCAACAGCTTGAAAAAGGAAGGAAATTTCCTGATTTTGGAGCACTATCATAGCATCATGCACATGAGCATCAATCATGAGGGTGGGAATTTATGCAAGAAAAACACACTTCATTATGATTTCTATAATAAAGAACTACTTTGTCCTACAATCATGGAGAAAAGCACAAGTATGAAAGTCTATGGCAATGAACTCAGAAATCCTGCCAAAAATCTCCAAATCTATGCCTCTTCAAAAACATGAGTTCTCATATCAACAAAAAGCAGTATATCAGGAAATTAATGGTAAAAGTCACAGCTATCAGACTACCTTCATTAGGCCCCTCAATTTGCTGAATCTGAGTCCCCCAGGTGTTAGGCTTGCTTGAATGGGGCAACTTAATATCAGCAACAGATCCTCCAGATGTTCCCAGTTGCCCTCGTCGATCACTTCCCCACATGAAGACAGAGAAGTTCACTGTGACAACAGCAGCATGTCTGAGTCCAGCAGATACAGTCTTTGCAGGATAAGGTAGAGGCACTTCTGCAGGTTCATGTGTACAATCTTTCACCTGACAGGATACCATGCAGAGTGATGAATAATGCAGAGACAGAACGATCTTAGAAACATTATTTAATAAAATGACAGAGCAAATACAAATTGGCCAATTAGACAGGAAACCAATTCCTGAGAGGTGTTAAACAGGGCATGAATCACAAGGCAAGGTAGATCCAATAAATTCTGATTTGAAGAGCCAACTAGTTACTCCATGAATGCTTTCAAATTATTATGCATTTTTCAACCTCAACTGCCAAGGCCAGAGTTAGAATACAGGGCAATACTAAAGTGATATATTGGGAAAGATAAGGAATTTTAGCCCCTGCAATTTTGCATTTTTTTACTCTGTATTTGACAACACTGCAGAATGGTTCATGTAGGTACTATGGATGATCAATGTGTTTTGTCAACAATTTTTTAGTTTCTGATGCATAAACACCACTAACTTCATATCTTCAAATCCTACCTATAAGCTACTCATCTATATACAACTGCATCCAGATCAGCCATTTATTAACTTGTTCAGACCCATTGCTCACCTATGGGCATATAAGCATGGTATTCCATATTCTCATTTCATATATTGTGATAGTGGAAAATGCTTTATAGTCATTCATGATTAGCAATCACAAGCAACCAACCTCAAAAAAATGGAAAAGGCAGAGGAGGAGCACTGCAAAAAGAATTTACTAAATACTCCACATTTGTCTCACTCTACTCCCAAGTATTATTCTCATTTGATCAAAGAGAAACCAAGGAAAACATTTAACCTGCCCTCTTACAGAAGGTAAGATCTAGGTATAGTTAGGGTGACTATAGGGATGATGCATCAACTTCGAAAAGTTATTGCATTTGAAGCACTGGATGGAATTCTTTTACACTTGGCAGGAATCTTTCTTATTCACCTGAAATGTCATATGCAAAAATGCATGAGTCTAGCATAATATTGGATGGAGATATTTAAAAAAAGTAAGTGGCATACTTCTTTTTGGGACACAGTGTACTTGACATTGTCAATACCAATGCTAATGGAGTGTATCAATGCTCATAACACCAAACACCCTTCCAGTTTTGCTCTAAAATATATGAATGAATCATTCTCCCACATTTCCTGATACTACAAAGGAACATCCAGGAGAGAAGAATCTCTGAGGGTTGAAACACCTCCATCCCTCATATGGAATCAGTGGTTATGCAGGAATACCACAAGACAGACAATCATAGAGTCTGTACCACTCCTGTATTTCTGGCAAAGTCTTTTGTTTGTTTGATGTCCATCCAGCTTCTTGCCCCTCACATCTCTGACTTAATCTGTCCAGTAGCCAGTCCAGTAGGTACAAATCCTGAATGAATTTATGCAATGTCAGCACAAGAATATACTTAATTTTGCAGAGACTTCATAATCACCTTGGCCATGCACAGCAATCAGGCAAGTACAAAATATATTAAAATATTGTAGTATGGTATCAACATAATTATGTTGACCTAGAAGGAAAATGTGAAAAAAAGCATACAAATAAGATTTGTCCCTGGTAATGAAGGCTGTGAACTGGTACCCATTTTTCATGTTCAGAATTCCACTTTACAGACATAGGATTTTTCAGACATTCAAAACATATGCTGTGTTTAGCCTATGACTCCTTGAAAACAGATTGGACAAGTTACCTGTGATCTAGGGAGACCCAACTGTCCAAATGAGTTGGAGCCCCAGGTGAACAGTCTGCCATTTACATCAACAGCAGCTGTGAAGTCCCAACCACAAGAGATTGAGATGATGTGATGCTTGCTCAACTTTTCAATAAGTTTGAAGGCAGCACTATGACCACCCGGTGTCTTATAACCCAACTGACCCTGACAAATTAAAAGGAATATATTATGGAAAGGAGTTTATAGAAAAGTTACACAATCTCACCAAGGTTGAACAGACCTTATTATTCCATCCAGCAGAATAGAGCTTTCCTGATGTGGTCAGAATAACTGTGTGACCTCCACCTCCAGTGATACATGAGATATCATCCAAAACATCTTGAGGAAGTGACTTCACTTCCACTGGATGAACTCGCATTTCTGCTGTTGTTTCATGGCCCTGCTGGCCATATGAATCTGCACCCTAGATGAAAAGTAGGCTCAATATTAGTACAAAAGATTGCACATATGATCATACTATATTCTTGATCTAAATATGGCTGAGCTAGGATTATCAGATGCATCATGATTCAGTTGAATACTCATGACATGGTTGAATAGAATTCCACTTCAAAAAGGCTTCCTAAAAAGGCCTCCACTTCATCATTTGCTAAGCTGGCCTAACTGTGCCAAAAATACTTCTGAATCCTTGGTTTCCAAAGTGGGGTAAATCATTTCAAATGTGCAAATTAGTGATCCATTCCCAGGTTGCCAAACATCCATCAAGGTGGATGTGAATCATGGCAGTGCTGAACATTAGTGCTGCTGTAAGGAACAGATGAACCCTATGAGACATTCCAAGCATATTATTATGTAAAATTATATCAATCCAGAAGAGAATCCCATTGGGCACCACCACTGCTCATTGTTTTAACCTTTTTGCAGTTTACTGTCAGACAGCATTCAAAACATGGTTACTCCCCCATTGCAGTTCATAGTCAGACTGTCTGAGATCATTTTCCCTACTCCAGTTCAGTTCTGTGGGGCAACAAATTGACACTCATGCCATGCTGCAAAAAAGAAGAGCAAGCATATATCCTCTGCATATTTCAGAATAACTTGGAATTGAGAGGTGCTATGCTTTATGGAAAAAATTACCTTTATGAGTAAGCTAGGGCCATATATATTTAGACTGACCATAAGAGACTGACATATGGAAAATTTTAATATAAATTGTTTTTGGGTTGAAATCATACCACCCCCTATAGTGACAAATGGAGAAAACACAACTTTTTAGAAGGATCCACTTCATCAGGTGATAGACAAAATGACCAGTGGGGCAGATGTCACTAGTTACAATTGATAGAAATGCTCCAATGGCAGGTACAAATTCAATTGGAAAATTCCATATGCCTCTGTTAGATTTTTTTGCATCAAGCATTTTTTGCAATAAGAGGTCCATCCAAGTAAAATTATATCAAGTACAGAAATTCATCTAAGCACTCTCAAACACTCTAAATTACCTCAAAGAAAGTTTTCCTGAAGCATGGGTCTAACTGGGGGGAAGTCATAAAAAAAATTCTAACTCTCATTTTGGTGATGAATCAAATGAGTGATCATAGTATGACAACACAGAAAATGCATACAACATAAACCCATCTGCCACTTCTGAACATTTTCACAAGCTGTCTGAGTTAAAATAAAACTTTACTTGCAGCAAGTGGCACTAGTCACCCTAGCTAAGACAAACACCTTGGTTTACATTATCAGCAAAACTTAATAAGGCTAATCAAGCACTAAACAATACTTAGGCTATATCCAGACTGATACCAAATGTTTGATGCAATGACTGATTTATTTCTTCTTGGATGCTCCATCTGAGGAAGGAAAACAGTAACAAATAATGAACTCACCCTCAAGAGTCTCAGAATTTGAATGACCCAGAGAGAAGGCAATCATCTCAACTGGACCATGTATAGTGACCAAAGCAAGATTTCAAAAAGCAGATTTCTTTCTTTACAACTGAGGGAGGGAAAGTCTTCAAATTTGTCAAGTGAATTTACACACACTGCTACATCTATAGAATTAGGGGGATAGCACCGGCACAGTTTCTGCATTTTTAATAGCTTGAGAATTATTCACATAATTTATGTATTTGATTCAGATTCAAAGCGAAGTTATTGATATCAAGATTAGATTCAGATCAATGGGGTGATTCATAAGTTTGTTACCATGATATATGAATTTACAAAGAGAAGCATGAGTCCCACAGAGAAACTAATTTCACCATTAAAAAGGGCCCTCCCCCCTTGCAGGCCTTGAGATTTTTATTTAGGAGCTATGTACAACCAGGATCTGTAGGCATCTGTACAAAAGATGGACATTCTGAAACAACTCTGCTGTGTTGGTGCTGCCTTCAGAATTGATCGCTTTCTTTAAGTCCCTGATGTTTTACAGCTTCCTTCTGCAGTCTTCTTAAGGATTCCTACCTTTCACAAAACACTTTTCCCAAGGCGATTTTGTCTGAAACATAATAACTTTAACGCTAGCCTGTAAAGAGCTATAGGCCTCACCCATGCGAACAATCTCAGGGGACACATTCTTCATCATTGTGCACGATGGAAGGCTGGCATTCGATTATCTAATGTGGTTATGTTTTCCATATATATGTCAAATGCCCAGAGCTTGTTAATATTTTGGAAGAAATGCAGAGGCTTTGACAAGACTCGTACCCGCTTGTACCTCTAGAATCATTGTGCGGGAACACAACGGAAAGCACGTGGAAGACAGATCGGAGCAAGTAGGGCATGTTCGCTTCTCTTTGGTGGTTGGCCACGTGAGGACATGTGATTACATAAGCTAATCTTCATATCAAAAGCATACTTAATTTTAAAAATTACTTCCCTTTTCTATCTATCTTAAGAGTCGAGACATGTAGTTGGGTTGCGCAAATAGGGGCGACAATGCTGTGGAATGGCGACCACCCGTTCCGTTTTTTCCACATTTTTCTCTTCCCCCCCCCCCCCCCCCTTCCTCCTTCCCATTCTGTAAATCCCTATTTAACATTAAATCTTCCGTATTTCTACGAAAAATTATTTGTTCTATTTTACTAGCAGATTTCATTTAGTATTCCATATATGTCTGTATTGCACCTTCCACAGTGGCGTATTTTGGCTGAAGGGTCGGGGAGGGGGGGAGGGGAGGGGGCAGGGCAACAGAACAGGGGTACCAAACCCCACCCAAGCGATATCAGGGGAGAAAATTATTACCTCCAAGGGAGCGCCAGACTCTGTCTCAGGGGCGCCAAGTAGGGCAGCTCCCCCCTCCTGTAAAATACGCCACTGACCTTCCCTCAATCCTTCGTTCAGCATACCCCCTCACCTACCACCTACAATGTCTGAACTACCCATGTGCAGTGGCGGCTCGTCAGGGTAGGCAGGGTAGGCAGTGCCTACCCAGTTTAAAATCAGAGTTCTCAAATTAATATTTGCTACTTAATTCTTCGATTAGCACAGCTGGAAATACTTTTTTTTCATTGCAAGGTAAAAGCAAAACAAGATTATGCGTCCAGAGTAGGCACGGCGCTGCCTGCCTACGCTGGCTAGGTTCGAATTCCCACGGGTCCAATGCAGGAACGAGAGGAGGGAGAAAGGGAAGAGAACCACAACACTGGAATGAGTGAGGGTAGGCTTGCCTACGGTTCGCAGTTACTCCTTGCGCAGGAAGGAAAGTTGAGAATCGCTTGCTCACGCCCTCTGCTCAGAAGCACGTGCTTGTAGAGGCTTCCACTGTGGTTGTCACACCTGATCAGACTTATTCTACAGTTTTATGCAGACTGAATTAAGTAATCATTCCGAACAGGATTCGGTCAGTCTCAGTTCCCTATTCCTACCACGCATTCGTTGCTTTCTCTGGAAGAGGCAATGTTACTATGTGATATGTGCTGTTAGACTGACAGTGCCTCGCATCCCTGGTGTCTTCCAATGATATAGTTGCATTCATTGAAGGTTTAAATCTTCGTCACTTTTCCTTTTAGATGCAAGTAATTTCCTTGATGGATAGTTCTGATTATGTTAGAATTGGATGTTACAATTTTGAATGCAAAAGTCCTAAACCAAGCCTGTAGCAAGGGGTGGGGGGGGGTGACCCTCAGAAGAAACTGGAGAGTGGTGGGTGGGGGAGGGGATGCTGAGCGAGGTTGAGAGAGGAGCGAATGTGCCTGCTACTATCATAGGAGGACGCTCCATTGGTCAATAGGGATAGAAATGGGGATCATATAGGCAGTGTTGGGCGGTAACGAAGTAAAAGTAACGCGTTACAGTAACTAATTACTTTTTTCAGTAACTTTTAAGGTAACGAGTTACTTTTTCCCCCCCCCCCCCCCCCCCCCCACTTTTTTTTGCACCACTGCTGCCTACCCAATTTTTTTACCCACGAGCCGCCACTGCCCATGTGTGAGTACGAAGGAGGTGAATATTTTCACCCAAGGGTGTCCTAATCAAGAAAATCTCTGTACAGCACTGTTCCAGGTGTTTCTTACTTCCCCCTATATGTTCCTTATTTAGACTGTCTCCAGGTGGTAACCCTTGCTATGGGTTGAGTTCGGTGTGACGATGGACTATCTCATAGAAGATATCTACTCTCAGACTCCACTGGGACTCTGCCAAGGGGCAGGTGAAGACAATCCGACGACAACAGTCTATCTCGGTGATTCTCCATTCACTGGTAGTCCGTAGTGATCGTACAGGTGGATTGCGAAAAGGTTCACAGAAACAAAACACGGAAGAGTAAAAAATGGGGTAAGTACAGGTATGTCAGAAGTGCTTAACACAAGTCGCGCGCAAGAGTATATGAGCTTTCAATTCGTGGAATGGGATTCATCTCCGAATCCAGATTACAAGCCTGCATAAGGATGGAAGACAGGTGAGGAGAGAGGAAAATCCCTAGAAAGGGCTAGAAAATGGGGAATCACCGAGAAATGGGAGCTTTGGCTTTCTCAGTGCGAATGCTTCGCCTCCGCCGGCATTGCAACATTACTTCGTCTATCTAATGCGGCCAACACCTCGTCGTATCCCTTTATGTGATCTCAACGAGTCCGGGGGCCCTGTGTTGAAATCCAATACCCCAGACCAAAAAAGGAATGAGACCATACCAATGCCATCTCGAAACTGAGAAAAACGCGCTCTGTGAAGAGACGTGACAGCTGTCGCACCCTTACCCGGCTCGTCTCGAATCCAAAGCAGTAATTGATTGGATCACCTAAGGAGGAATATTAGTGAAGTACTTGCACGACTATCCAGTGTTTCAATATAACTTAAGGCGTCCGCTTCTTCGAAGTGAATCGCGGTCACTTTGGAATTTCTTTTATGCATAAAACCCGTCGAATTAGTATCACAGACAGTTGAGGCAAGAGGTGGCTGACAGTCAGAGATGGGTTTATGCGCCGAGGAGTATGCATTAGGATTCCAAACGTAAATGTATACAATACAAATATAACCTATTTGTACTCTATCCCATTAGCGTCACCACTCTCCAAAGTGACCCCTTTTAGTCTTCAGTCTAACAGTCGTAGGTCCTTGGTTTCTCTAAAATGTCGTGAAGAATCGGGGTCACTGCTTCTTCTGCATGCAAGTACGAGGTTTTTTCACGTTTGCTTTTCACATTTGTTTTGTGCTTCTGAAGCGTGCGTTCTCATATCTGTACTCATATTTCTTTGCTTTCACACGACTCCATTATTTATTACCGTTTCAGGTTTTTTTGGGTCTCATTAGTTCGGGAATCGGGCTCTGTGGGTTTCAAAACATAGCAAAGGTCAAGATCCACTGATCTATCTCATGAGAAAAAATTTTTTTTTGAGAAATCGATTGTTGCGATTGGTTACTAAGAATGCGTCATCTGCAAATTACCTGGGAATAAACTCCACATCCTGCTAGGTTCCGCGGAGAAAGTTTCATTGACAAAATCGTTTGGCTGAAACTCGCATGACGTGGATTCTTCCGTTGTAATGAGACCGCGTGAAGGAGCGACGCAATTCGGGAATTACACAAAGGATGGGAAATGACCTGGTTGAATCCTAAAGATAGGGAAGCAGCAAGGGGTAACCGGCCACGAAGCTCGACTTAATTGTTCTGAGACTATCCAACAGATGCAGTGCCCGATAAAACCGGGGGACAGTTCCCAGGGAGCTCAGGAGGGGCTCCGGTGGACAATGATTAAAAAACCTTCCTGTATGAAGTGGAATACCCTGTGAGAGTTCTCTGCCTTTTGCTGTTTATACGCCCTGACTGATTTCTGCTTTTGATATACTCAAACGTATTTGAAACACGTTTGATATACTCAAACGTGTTTCAAATACGCTGTTTTAATAGATTATCTTGTCTGGGAAACGCATGAGTCAGGAGCGGATGTTTACGCAAATGCGTGTTTTCTTGCCTGCTTTGTATAGGCATGCGACCCACCCAAACGAAGCACTTCACTCGAGGGGAAAGGTATTTGGGGCATTTTAAAAACGCACAAAATGTCATATTTTGCTCACTTTACTTGTCTTATGTGAGTGCCTTACGGTGAAAGTGCATTAAAATATTTTCTTTTTATCTGAGTGGCTCTCTTTCCTAGTCAAACCATATTCTGGAAACAACAAAAATCACTTTGAAGGACCTAGGGAAGGCCATGTTAGCTATTACAGCTTGTACAAGTGCTTAGTTGCCTTGTCATGGCAGGGTGATGGTATGGGAATGTGCATTGTATTCCCACTTCCGCTTCCAAAAGGGCATATTTTTGCATAAAATAGTCATTTTTCTAAGAGCTGCCATAGAGCCAATAAATTTTCCTAATTGAATAATTAAATAACCGAACAATGTACTAATTACTGACATCTAAATTAATTGCTAGCTGATAAGAGTTCTTTTTTGGCAATTGCTGATTAGCTAATAGCAATTGGCTAGGCGATGATAATCCACAGAAAATTGTTGAGACTGCTGCTCAAGTTAACACGCTTTTTTAATATTGATCTTCGTCAATTGCGAGCAGAAAAATAACTTCAATATGCATTTCTGAAGTAGCAACTTTTTTATTGCTGTCGCAAAATTCCGAAATATCAGTGCGCTCCTTGGTTAAAATCAGTCAGTAATTAATTTATCGTGAATCGCGAGCAGCTGTAACACATAACTGAATTATGAACAACTATTTATGAATAATGTTTAATGATTATTCAAATTTCTTTACTTCTACCAGCTCTGCTATTCTCTGTTTTGCAATTTTTATTGTGCATGTATATGCAGATTTCAGACATTTTCATGCCTAAAGGCCTCTTCCTACTCAAGAGATGAGACGAGGCCAATGCGACCAGGAAGAGGTGGAGGGCGACACGCGTGAGCCCTAGCACAATTAGGAAAGCGCATAGTTAGTAAAGACGAGAACCCGTTCCCCATCCTCCAGCTTGTCCGACGATCGACAAGAATGGAATTAGCAATCCTTCGGATGGATCTCCCGCTCTGCACGGACTATGGACCTATTGAGTATCTGCAGCTGATGTCATGAAGCTAAGATAAACAACGTGGTAAACCAAAATGTTTTCTCACTTTATCATACGAAATTTTCCAGAAGATTTTATGTAGAATTACTCTAATAAAGAAATTAACAGAATTTGAAAAATGGTGTTTGCATTTTTCAATCTACACTCATGAGTCCTTAACTAGAGCAAAACGTTTGAAGGAATTGCACCCAATATTTAAAAATCCCTCACCATTATGGCACATCGGAGCTGCTCGAACCGAAAAGAGTACCGCCCTTGGTCTTGGAAGCCTTGAAAAGGACAAGACTTTGGCACGAGAGCATACCGCCTCCACTGATTACGCATCCATCGGCGTGGCAGGATGCCAAACTGCAGAATAGCCTTCCAGTCTAAGTCTGACCGTTCTCGTCTGACCTGAGCGGAAAGGAAGATTTTACCGCTCCGGCAACTGAGAAACTGAGAACAGAGGGGAGGAGATAAACATTACTTTACTGTATTGCACATTGTGAGATATGAACACGGAAGAGTTACTGAAAGAGTCAGACAGTAGGAGAATTATCAGTCAATGGAGCAATAGTCAACATGAGTCTATTATCGTCGCATAGTCTAGAAAGACTGCGAATGGATCCTGTCCACGCATGACATTGGATGCTTATGACAGCAGGCGAGGCTCTACAGAGTGCAGAGGCGGGCATCACTTGGTGGAAGTCCTTCGCTGCGCATACAAGGTGTTGGAGCCTTGTGACTTAGAACCAAGAATAATGGCATCTGAAGAATGGTGATTTAATGATGTCCAAGGTCTTACTCGGGCTTATAATTGATGGCGTCACTCTGAGCCTCCATGTTTCGAGGATGTCGTCAACAAAAGCTGTGCTGCACATACCAATACCCAAGCTATCACGAGAGACTCCGAGGGCTCTTAGGAATATTGTCTTGATTCTTGGGCTCTTCCAAAAGGGACATGGTGAGGTCGTTCCAGATGGTATGGAGAGCGTAGATGCGAATGGGTATTACTTTTACCTTGAAGAGAGACAAAGCGGCAGTTGTCGACAACTTTTATGAGTTCTTGGTGCTGGTCTCCCTTTTGTGCATCTTCGGCTTTATTGGAGGCGTGCACCGGATCCGTTTATCCAGAAACTAATCTGATTTCATCCTAGGTTTCGGTGCAGAGAATATTATCCTCGTTAAACCGATTTTAATAGAGGGTTATTATGAAATCAGGTCAGTTTAAGTTTAGCCAATGTGGAGCATGTCACCCTATAAGTCCGAATTCAGCATATTTATCCAAGGAGACAAATAAGGGACAAGGACAGAATCTCCACTCCCGTCCATGCGAGACGTTCACTCACTGTCGCTCGTAAGGAATAGAAGCCTTCTCCTGACGTTATAACGCTTATTTGCTGAAATGTATCATAGCGGTTTAGCGTCAACTGATATTTCGTAATGAGAATCGGTTTACCTCACTTTGAGCGACATTCGCCATATATATTTAACTTTAAACAGATCCGATTTCATAAGACGTCTATGGACAACCCCGTTAAACTGGTAAATCAACCCCGTCAAACCGATCTCCATACATTACAATTTTGAAGCCATATTAGTTTAAATTTCCCGATCTGGTGCATGTCACCCTTTTGCTCAATCCGATAGACGTCCATCATGGAATTGGATAAATTTAAAGTCAAACGGATTTGGTACATGCCTCCCAGCATAGGAAGTCGACGCTTTGGAGTTCATCTGTCACCATTTCGGCTTCAAATGTCTTCAAGTTCAATGCCCAGGCGACAAATTCTTTAGACGGGATGAGGTGTGGGTAAAAAGTGATTCGATCAGTGGGCCTCTGCGCTGAGTCGTCGTTAAGGGTAAAAATTACTCTGACACTGAATCGGCGGATCAAATTTCTTCTCAATCTCAGCATCCCCACGTGGGAAGCTTGCATCATCCGGCACAAAATTTCCTTTCCAGTCCAAATCGAAGAGGGAATAGAGGCCAGGCAAAGATGGAGCAGACCAGAGAGAACACAGACAGTGGAGAGGTGTAAGACAACAGAGACAACATCAAACAGTACGGGAGATGAAAAGAATTCCAGTCCAGGTCGTGCAGAACGCAGAGGATTGTTGGTTTGTTCGTCTTCTCGACTTCCGCTTTTCTCCTCATACGTGTTCTTCCCGGTTCTTCCACTTCACCTTTCTCTTCTCAGTTGCTTGTTCACTTTTCGTCTCCTGCACTTTCTCAGTGTAGCATTCTCCATACTTATCCCCCTGTCCCATTTCAATTTTCCTTCATTCCCTTTCTCACATTCACTTCTGTCTGTTCTCAAAGTAGTATTCTGCACTCTCACGTGCTGAAGCGGAGTTGGAGAATGAATCTGGAAAAGTCATCAGTTCTGAGAGCTGAGCGATGACGACTCGATTCTGGCTTTCACCGAGACTGGCATATGCGATCTTTGCTTTCCTGATGGCAGAGTCCAAGCACAAAGGAGGAAAAAATGCCATTGAATTTCGAAACTCATAAGTACCATGTACGATGTCATTATTGCACTCGTGCTTTTGACACTAGCCAGAAGGCGCCAACTTCATCAAATATTTCCCGTACTTTGGTGCCAGGACAAGGATTCATGCTGTTCTTCCGGTGAGCAAAGAAGCATACTTACATCGTGACGTCAGTTTATTCTCTCATTCTTGTGATATATAGATTAGGTGCAGCACGCGTCCCTGGAGGGCAGAAGAAAATGAGACCTGCTGTTCCTCCTTCCTGACAGTTTTTGTCTACGTTTTTTAAATTCTCTTTTTCACGTTACTGAGCGACTTACATTCAAAGAGCTCGAAATTCGATATCGGCAGCCAGGAAGTTTACCTCCTGATTGTCTTTCTTTGGGAATACAGCAGCCTCACCTCTTTCAAATGCTCTTAGTGGATATTTGCTAGAAATTCAGCTAGAAGTGCTGCAATAGAAATAGAGTGATAATATCCAGCATATTCAACGGCGGTGAGTGTTGCTGTCATCGCACGCAATAACAGGAACAAGACCAAGTAAGGCTCGTCGATGTCGCCTACGTATCATTTTCGACGAGGAAACACCCACATCTTGATTTTAGTTCGTGCCTGCTGGGAGGAGGGGGATGAGGAATTGCCCTTTATGGTGGACGTCGCACGCATAGGCTTATTTAGCATTGGAGCCAAGGCCGGGCTAGAGACGGGGGACGGGTTCTGAGGGGGTCGCAATCCCTTAAAAGGGCAGAATGAGACTGCACGTACGTGGCAAAGGAAAGACCGAGGAGAGGAGAGAGAAACGGAGGAGGAGGAGGAGAGCTTTTAATATGAAGGGAAAGAGGAGACGGTTGCCTCGCATCCAATGACCTCCGCCTCCCAGGCTGACGTCATCCTTGGTAAAAGCAGCTCGTACAGGGCGGGAGGAAGCTCAGTCTCTCAGGATCAGGCCTAGTTGTTTGCTGCGTGGTTCATCGCTACCCTACCGCAAACTACTCTGCCTTTTATTTTCATACCGTCTACCAGTATCATCACATCTCGTCACGATGGTGAGTTTTCTATAGGCTTCATATCTTCCTCTCCTTGGTGTACTTGCGCGGCTGCTACCGAACACCTGGTGCGAAATTTTGCAAAAAATGCATTTTTTTTTCTGTTGAAATAGCTTTTGTCTATATTGTTGATGTTCGCGAACTCGTAAATTTCATTTTCTGCATCAATTTTAGAAGCAAAGTGCTGCCAGCAATCATTAAAATTAAAAATTAATCGTTTCCGCGTGAAAGAAAGCCCGCCCGCAGGGCGGAATTGCGATAGAACGTCATTTGCATGCACATCTGTTGAGGTTGGAGCAGTTATTACTTAATATGTGCTCATTTATATCACCACGGCTGGTTCGTTTTGTTCGTCTGGACGGAGAAGTACCACCCGTAGGTGACAAAGAATAAAATGCTCAAAAGAGAAGAGAAGGGAAAAATCCTTGTTGAGGGTGCGAGGCCTTGCCCATACAGGAACGGTCGCTTCTTTGTAAAATCCTTCCTCGAGGTGAGAAGTTTTTATTTTGGCGGCGAGTGAGGTTCGTGACCGTCGCCTTTCCCCGCTGGGGATGGGCCTTTGTAGTGTCATTCATCTCTGCCTTCATAAATCTTTGAACGGGGATCGTCTCTTTGGCCCTGCTGGGCACCAGTGTTGCTTGCAACTTTCTACCGAATCCTAATACTTTTCAGGGAATGGAACCTTGATGCGGTTTGGCGTAAGTTAAAAATCTCAGCCATGCATATTTGATGGAGAGGTGGTTAAATCACATGTTGCGTGTTGAATCAGACTTGCAAATGACACCGAAAAACTTGTCAACGTTTATGGTAGCGACCCTTTTAAGAAAGCCGAAGTAATTCATATTCCACATGTATCAATCCTGAGATGAAAAATTAGGTATCGTAAATCACCCGTTTTTCCCCAATTCGCCCTTGGGGAATCCAAGGTGAATTTGACGAATTAGGTTTAGTTTCGGAGTCCATCTTTTTTATTTATTACCAAGACTAAGTGGAATCACCAAGTCACATGGGTTGACATGTCGCTCGCCCGACATGTCTTCGTCATACATATAGCCTTCATTAGAAGGAGATGATGAGAGAGTCAGAACTGACTATCGATCATTGGTATGAGAACGTGTTTTTTGCTTGTTTGTGTACTTGGACTCGTTTCAACAGGTTTAGTGGAGCGCATGGTTTCTCTTTCACAGAGGGAGTGCATCTCCGTGCATGTTGGACAAGCCGGCGTCCAGATTGGGAACGCCTGCTGGGAGTTGTATTGCCTGGAACATGGGATCCAGCCTGATGGCCAAATGCCATCTGACAAGACCTTCGGCGGCGATGACTCCTTCAACACTTTCTTCAACGAGACTGGCGCCGGGAAGCACGTCCCTCGTGCCGTGTTCGTTGATCTTGAGCCCACCGTTATAGGTCAGTGCTTCTCAGATCGGGGTCTTTCCATACAAAGACTGCATTTAGGCAACGGGACCTCGGGAGGGCAGGAAAATGAGGGGTTACAGAAAGACACACGCAGCGAGAGGGCTCTTTCGATCCAAGGAGATTCAGGCCGTGACCAATCATTACAGAAAGTAAGAAATCTGAGTGATGAAGTAGCCTTGCTCAGAGAATGGTTACGAGGGATGTGGCTCGCACACAAAGACGTGGGTGCTTTTTGTACGGTTCGTTTGGAAAGTGGCGAGGACAAGAACAAGTTTCGAGGAAGATGAATATCCCTGGCAATACGATGCCCCGACTCGAACCAGCAACGACTACTTGACCATTTCCATCCGTATTTCATCTTTGCAACTTCTCGTTTTCCTTTGATTTCGATTCTCAGTTGAATAAATTCTTTTGCATTCACAAAAGCTTTGATTCATTTCATACCTAACGAAAGAAACCCATTAATGAAAACGTACTCGAACTGATGAGTAGTCAAGTACGGATTGAAATGGGAGAGTAAATGTTGCGAAGTCCCAGTCCATCTCATTGCAGACGCGTAGAAAAATTCAATTCAATTAGCAGCATTTGTTAATTTAGCTCGATTTTTCCAATTTCCAACGAGACAAGTAACGCTTGATGTAAATTTCCAGTTGTGTCATGATGGATTTCCATTTTATGTCCTTCAAAAGTGGGAGAATGATGGGAAGGTAATGATGTGTGTTGGTAGACGAAGTTCGGACGGGGACATACAGGCAGTTGTTCCACCCGGAGCAGCTGATCACGGGGAAGGAAGATGCGGCCAACAACTATGCTCGCGGCCATTATACGATCGGAAAGGAAATCGTGGACCTCGTTCTGGATCGCATCAGGAAACTGGCCGACCAATGTACCGGTCTTCAAGTGAGTCTCTGCAATATGTTATCTTCATCTCTCTATTGCTCTGAGGATATGACGAAATGCCCTCGTCGTCCTTTCCAGAGCTCTCCCTCTTGCGCAACGTTCCAGCTTATTCTAAATCTCTCCATCACTCTTCACTCGCCCCCGCTTTCTCTCTCCCCACGTTTTATCGCCAACATCGGGGTTCATTTAAACATGTAGGACTCTAATCGATTCAGTTGAGGAAAATAATGGACCCATTCGAGGAGTTTCTCACGGAAACTCCGCTCCACATCAACAGAAAACGTCTCAATCCCGAAAATAGGGGCAAACTGAAGCATGAAATGACTTGCAGTATAGAGAAACCCCCCATGGACGGATATTTTGTTTTCTCTGCAGGGCTTTCTCATCTTCCATTCCTTTGGAGGTGGAACTGGGTCCGGCTTCACCTCTCTTCTCATGGAGAGACTCTCTGTCGACTATGGGAAGAAATCCAAGCTGGAGTTCGCTATTTATCCTGCACCTCAGGTCAGGAAAGGGCAGTCAGTCACCCCGAGCTCGAGCTCGGCTTTTAAAGCCTTCCGTGAATGATGGCACGATCTCTCTCTCTGATTCGATGTACAGGTGTCAACGGCCGTCGTGGAACCGTACAATTCCATCCTGACCACTCACACAACTCTGGAGCATTCCGACTGCGCCTTCATGGTAGACAACGAGGCCATCTATGACATCTGCCGTCGGAACCTGGACATCGAGCGTCCGACCTACACGAACTTGAATCGGCTGATCGGTCAGATTGTGTCCTCCATCACGGCTTCCCTCAGATTCGACGGAGCTCTCAACGTGGATCTCACGGAGTTCCAGACCAATTTGGTGCCCTATCCGAGAATCCATTTCCCGCTGGTGAGCTCTTCATTCCGCACTTCCGCCTTTCTTTTCGCTCCTCGCTCGGTTTTTGCCTACGACGGGCATGGCTGATTTTTCTCCCCTTCTCCTCTCGGAATGCAGGTCACGTACGCTCCAGTCATATCCTCGGAGAAGGCTTACCACGAACAGCTCTCCGTGTCTGAAATCACGAATGCATGCTTCGAGCCGGCCAATCAGATGGTGAAATGCGACCCAAGACGTGGAAAATACATGGCTTGCTGCATGCTCTATCGAGGGGACGTCGTCCCGAAGGATGTAAATGCTGCCATCGCGCAGATTAAGACCAAGAGGACGATCCAGTTCGTGGACTGGTGCCCAACTGGGTTCAAGGTGAGTTGCGAGTTCACATCGATCCTCTCGTCACGCTTCGACGCTGCCATCATCGTGATTCATTGCATTCTTCCCGGTGACGAATCGTGACTTGGCTATTTTTTTTCCAGGTGGGCATCAATTATCAGCCTCCGACCGTGGTGCCTGGCGGAGATTTGGCTAAAGTAGCCCGAGCCGTTTGCATGCTCAGCAACACGACTGCTATTGCAGAGGCCTGGGCCCGGCTGGACCATAAGTTCGACTTGATGTATGCCAAGAGGGCTTTCGTGCACTGGTGAGTGCATTACCATCCCATCTCATCCGTTTCCTTCCCTCGTCTCCCTCCCTCCCTCGCCTTTTCACTATGCATTAGATTTGAGATGGCAAACAACCCGAGGGCAAAGTCTGGAATGTACCGTACACCTCCACTCACATGCGCGGAGGAAATACGTTTGTGATGTTGGGGGGTCTTGCACTTTCCCTCCAGCGGCAAGAACATATGGCGTGAAAATATCAATAATATTTTCCAGGGGAGAGCGATAAGGGGCGGAAATAAGCGTGGATGCCGGGATTTTGCGAGAGTAATGCCTCGTATGTGTATTAATAACGTTTTTCTGTCACGTGAAGAGAGAAAACTGCAATTTCCAATTCCCCCCTCGTCAGGAACGAGTCACGTAGTCAGAAATCCTCGTGGAAGCACGCATGACGAAGCATCCTCCTTCCACAATAGAGTTTCCGCGTGCGGGATGCATGCGAATGCGCAGTCGGCATTATAAATTCACACCGAGGTCCCATTTTTCATTCTCTCAGGTATGTGGGAGAAGGGATGGAAGAAGGGGAATTCTCCGAGGCTCGCGAGGATTTGGCTGCTCTGGAAAAGGACTACGAAGAGGTTGGCTTGGACTCCATCGAGGGAGAAGGCGAAGGTGGAGACGAATACTGAAAACCGACATCAACATGAAGCCGTTCCTCCATTCCTGCATTTTCTATCTCGTCCTGGAATTTCGTTTATCCTCCGTCCTTCGGTACGCTTATCGTGTTAACACCTTTTCTGATCGTACGTTTTCTCAGCACATGGCAATTCGAGGCGCGACTTTGAATACGGTTTTTATTGCTTGTAAAATAGTTATATGACCAATAATAAAAGAGTCCCTCGTTCCTATACGTCGAAGGCGGAAAGAATCCATGAGAGCATGAGTCATGATGACCAAAAAAGGGAAGTGGAGATAGAGGAAGAGATTGAGGGTGGAGCCTCGACGAACCCACGCACGTAAATACTGCGAAAGCCCATGGGTGGAGACCGTTCTGTAGCCTTCGGAATCTCATCCTTGTGTAAAGGGCGTATATGGCCCACGACCTCGTCTCATTCAATGCTTAAATGGCCTCATTTCTGTATCGCTCACACTCAACATAACCTGAACGACTCTGGCAATGAACGAGTCAGGAACTGGCAGCACAAACACCTCCCTTATCTCTCCCATCTTCCTCATGTTTGAATCATGACGGGATTATCCCACCGCTCGACATACATTGGCGTCTGAAACGCACATTCCGCATGAGTTATAAACGGTGTTCCATTGTCCATTGCCTAGCCCCTGCGCGTCATAAGTGAGATGGACCTGATGACGGTCAATGCCCCGGCGATCATGCTTTTCGAGCCCCATACACCTCTTCCACCATCTGGATTGACAGTCCCTATTTCTTCTTTCCGGTTCATTTCCCGATCGTGATAGAGACGACCGAATAACTACATCGCAATATTACGCCCTATGGCGACACCATTTTCCGCGTCACTTTTTTCCTGTCAAACGAAAAATCTAATGAGCCCAACTCAGGTAACGAAAAGGCAAACAGAGGATTGAACTCCATGAGTAGAGACACTTCTTGTGCATTGTTGACCTTCCGGGCGTGGTTTTTTCTTTTCCTTCCGCAACCAGGAGAGCAAAAAGACTCTTTATTTACTCAAAGGCATTTTTCCCTCCTCAATGAAGTCAGTGCAGTCTCCCATGAAATACACTTGAAAGCCAAGGAATGATATATAGCCTGTCCGCCCGAAGGAGCGCACGTAAGGCATCGTAAAAGAATGTCCGGGGGAAGCATGAACCATAGCTTCTCCAGTGATGAGAAATCGAGACCACCAATCACTTCTGAATCGTTGACATTGAAAAATCTTCTTCAGGCTTCGGTACTTCGGTACTTGAGTCAAACTTTTGGCTTGTTGCTTTCAACCCAAGGATGTTAAACCAGTTTGTCGCGGGGATGTTTCAGTTGCAAGAATCTCTCTAGACCGACATACCGAATTGCATGCCACTGGTTCACCCGACGGTGCGTCACTAAAATAGCCCGCATAGTCGCACACGCTCTGCGAAGAATCCACTTAGGCGAAGTGATGGATATATTAGAACGTAGTGAGGATGGGTGAGGACTCACGAGACTTTCCTGGCTGGGACGCAACAGCATGAACCCGCTGACACGCGGATATGTCTCACAATCATTCGAGTCTTATGATCACGTCTGTTCAGAAATAGAAGCTGGCTTTGCCGAACGTCAGAAATTAATTACGTTTGCAGTTTGACAAGCCATTAATTAAAAAAAAACGAAGATGCACCTAGGAATGGATCCTTGTCTGGCAGTATCGGCTGCCGCCCCATCCGAAGCTCTACGTGTCATCACTCCAAAAATAATAATGCGTAATAAGGCTTAATAAGGTCGATAGCGAGAAGTAGATACGGTAGTGAGAAAATCCTGGGAAACGACTTCCCATGACGGTTGGCTCACCGGATGAATTGAATCATCTCATCTAAAAAATGAGGGAATTCTTCCTGAGCTCCCGAGTCCCATCTGCAATAATGAGCCGTTGTAACAAGAATCCAAGGCTTCCTTTCCTTTCCCGTGCAGAGGCCTCGACAAAGCCCAGGATGCCTTTTTCTTCGAAAGAAGTCATGATGCACGTGCCTGCCTTACACGAATGCCCTCATTTTCTCTAAAATAACACGGAGAAAGAGGGAACAGTGGGGTGGGGCACGACAAGTTTTTGTAGGTTACTAGTTTAGCAGGTTTCGAGGAGCGTCATGGCTTCGAGTAAAAATGCATCAACCCAGATGCAAAAAAGCAATCTTGTCGAAGAGTTCAATGACTGACCGAGGAAGAATTGTGCAGTCGTGATCATCGTTTCTTTATTGAATGTGTGCAACCTAGATTCCAGAACAGAGGTTACGAATCTGCGGCCCACAGATTTTTAGCTGCCCATGATGTGCCAAAACGAGGCCCGAGGGCTCGGTCCCAGTTTACTATAATAATAAAAATAAGACATTTGAGTTATAAAGTCTGAATGAAAAAAAAAACCTTATTGCGAACACAAGGGCCGCATTTTCCACATGCAGGTAAATTTTGGTCCTTGGCTGTTACAGAGCGATCAGTTTTTCACTTTGGGGGGCTGCCAAGTCGAACATATTTTTGTTCTGGATTTTTCCCCCGTCAAAGTAATTTTTCAAACCTGCACACATTTATGCAGTACGCAACATATAATCACGATGAGATTGCTTTAATGCGTATCCTAAATACAGCAAGAGACAAAAAAAAAAGGAATTCCACGACAGGAAGTCAGACCGACTACTGCCCTGTTTTGCCTGGTCAATTGAGCTACAGTTGCGCCATGCACCCATTCCCGGGTCATTTCCCGTCTTTATTCGATTTATCGGCGCCACAAGTTCTGATGCTTTAAGGCATCTAGGTCATAATCATTATCAACATATTATAGGCAACAACTCGCTTTTTGGGAAACAAGGTCGACGCGGCACCTTCCTGGAACCCAGAAGCAATTATTAAACCTCGGGGGAAAAAAATGAACCAAGCACCGCTAACACATTCATGATACATTCATTAGAACAGCATACCCAGACGACCCTTTCAAGAGGATTAATTTGAACTCTTGATCTTTGGTTTATTTTCCTTCAATGCGATGCCTGTGCCTTGGTGGATATTGAAACTTGAAACTCTCGAGATCACCAGTAAGTGTATTCTTGAATTATGAAAAAGAAACCATCCCAGATAGACAAATAGTATAGTTTCAGCATCACGAAAGCAGTAAAATTACATTCAATCGAAAAGAATGCATGAAGAGCCATGTTCTGCTTTATTGAAAAGTAACTCGATTCCGAAGGTTCCACGAAGCCAAGTCTTTACTACGTATCTTGGTCTGTGAAGAGGAAAGACTGGATATGTGCGATACGGTATCACACGGTCCAAGTCGCTCGCTCGGGGGAGATTGACTGACAAACGAGTCAGAATGCTGAGATGCATCAGACAACAGAGACTGAATTTCGATTCCAGGAAAGGAAATCCATGAACCGAGGAGAAGATCCATGGCGAAGGGGCATCGTCGCCACCTTGTCCTCCTCAGATGATGCACCAAAATAAGAATCCAGCATTCCCAGCAGGCCTGTCAGCCACTCGCGGCATCCTTGAGCGCTGCACCACACAGGTTTAGAACTGCTGCTTCAAAGACCCGAAAGATTTCGCCTCTTTCTTTCACCAGACCCTATTGTCCATGATTGCCGAACGGCGCTGACATCATCATCGGATGACGATGCGACGTTGTGCTCCTCCAACCAAGTCGCTCCACGCCCACCACTTGTCATCCTCTTGGGAATTTTATAGCTTGCGCATTCCATTCGAAAAAAAATCAAAATTTTACAATAGACGGAGACAGCTTAATTCACTGGTGTCCGTTCTCTCTTTAATCAGTGCAAAAAAGCGGACGAGATGTCTATTCCCTTCTCCCCCTTCTGGAGAAACACCAAGTGTGGCCCGGGCAAAAGCTTTCAAATGTATGGGATTCCCAGTCAACGTTCTTCTCATTTTCCTTTCTCCCCCCCCCCCTTTGGAACTTGTTTTTTTTTTTTTATCTTTCTGAATTGATTGGTCGTGATGCAACGGAAATTTCGCAACGTAGACTTGGAATCCATCAGTTTCGATCTGCACCCTATCACGCAACCGGCGACAAATCCTTGGAGACCCCAATATTATTCCAACTTACAGATCAACACAAAGTGTGACAATTAAGTTCCAAGACTGAATTTTTTTATGAGCACAATGGAAACGCTGCCATTATTGCCACACCATGGGCTGATGCATCAAGCTGCTGGACAATGTTGTGCAAATGTTGTGCATCTGACTAGCATCAGGAATGAGAGACACCGCGTAGGGTGGCAATGAAGTAACGCTGTGTAACGTGTCATATTCCTAGAATGAAGCAATGCTTCATCATGTTTTGCCTCAAACTGAGGAATACGGCTTCAAAGATTGATCGATTTTGCAATAAGCGTCCTGACAGGTTGCCTTGTCACGTTCCAAAAACGTATGATGGTATACAATGTTTTGAGCCAGTAGAAATGTCGAATATGAGAGGGGTATCCATTCGGCATTCTGTATTCAGAATACCAAAGGTCTTGCATCTGCCTCGTAGCACTGGTGCAGTACGCGAATCTGACTCCTGTCAAAACCGACTACTGTAGTGTTTTTCGTGTTTTTCGCTTAAGCAATTGTGACTACCGTGCTCAATTTTACGTAGCAAATTTTCCTACCATAGTGATCTTTGCGTTCGCTCTTTCTACCATGGTAGTTATATCAACGTGCGCAAAAGTTACTACGCCCACGCAAAAATGAGCAAGTGTATTTTCGCATATTTTATTTCTGTGGCAACATCAACGAGGTCGTTGCAGATTTCCTAGTGCTATAACAATGGAGGTTGATGTCTTTTTAGTGGGCCTCTTTTCTTGAAAGGAAAGAGACCACTTATGGTCCAGTCCTGTTCGTCCGTGTGTCCGTGTGTCACACTTTGGTTGTCCGACGATAACTAAAAATATATTGGCTTTATCAATGCGAAAATTCGCAAGCGGGTAGATATGAACAAGATTGCAGGCTGAGTTCGTTTTGAGGGGAATTTGCACCAAAATTGGCATTTTTATTGCAAATTTTGGATTTGAAATTCGGTCACAGAGGGGAAGGCATGGGTGCCTGTGAGACCTTCAGGTTCTGGACCACAATGCGCATGCACGTGCGAACCAGGCTTTGGGCGCGGCGCCGTGTCAGCAACTAGAGCTGAGTTCTCTACCAACCTTCATGGCGGATGGATCCAAATACACACAGCCCTCCATCCTCCCATCACCGTTCATGGGCACCGTTTGTCAATGTTCACCAAATATAAATGAGAAATGAAGTTTTTGATGGCCGACGAGCGGAAAGAGATGGCATTTTGTTCAATTAGGTGACAAAATGCGGGTTTGCTTGACTGAAAGGAGCCCCACTACTGGACTGGGCTTACCCAGCTAGTTTAATATTATTCCCACGTTTGATCTTGAGTGTGAATTGCACGGGTCAGCATTGGAGCCTCCTTATCGTCCACGATGACACCTGCTCTTCATCCTTCAATTATCTTTACACTCGCAACTTCACATCTTTCATGCTAGTACTTAAAGTTACTGCCTTGAGCTTGTCTGTGTGTAGTCATGTTCTTCTTGGGCTAAGGATACTTCCCATGGTGGAGTCATGTCGCAATCTACTCGTAGCTATAGTCAGTCATCTGTCAACAAACTTCTTTACATGAAAACCATTGAATTGGTACAACTGTATTCTTTACGCCAGTTCATTTATTCTTCTATTCCTGCACCGATAAGTTTCTGATGGCTCAGGTCAAGGTTTCAGGGAAGTAGTAATCTCCCACCCTGATTCTGGAGGCGTGACTGGAAAAGAGATTGTGCTACGAACCTATTGCCCATTGCAAACATTCTGAGCTTATGGTGGTCATTTTTGCGTGACAATAGTGGGTCCTGAGTAAGCAGATTTTACTATGGTATTGCAGCGACTTACACCATTTTAACTAGTAATAGTTTCAGTGTACGCAACTTTCACCACGATAGCCATTTCCACGGGGTAGCAAGTTTTGCGTCTTACGCCGGCTCGAAACCTTGGGAGCTATTCAAAAGTCTGAGAGCGTTACAAGGCATCCTGTCCATGTATTTTTTTTTCAATATTTGTTGCTTCTCTGAGGCAATTTTCCCCAGTTTGAGACAAAGGGTGACATGCACCAGATTCGTTTTCATAATGGGCGTCTCTGTTTATCTCTGTTTTTATATTAATTCCCATAGGGGACTATTGCGAGATCAGATTAATTTAGCTTAAACGGATTCGGTGCATGTCATCCAAAACCTGAGGATGCATTTCTTCATTCATGGAATAACTCAGGTACTTCACAACCTGTACTGTTTCATTGGCAGCATATCTCTCATTCGCGATGCTAGTCAGATGAGGACTTGCACAACACTGCCCAACAGTCAAATGTATCAGTCCATGGTTTTGCAATAATTGTAGCGATACCAGCATGCACATTAAAAAATTCAGTCCAGGTACTCGATCTCACATCTTGCATTTCTTGGTTCGTCTCCGTATGACCGAAAACCGAATGTATGGGTGGGAGATTGAAAAACCACCGAAAAAAGACCGTTTTGGGTAATCGATGCGATCGGGGTGGGAAAATCCCTGTTCCTGCTCCCATCGAGACAGACAGGGCAGAGAATTTCCGACTCGACTTCTCATTCGACTGTTCAGCATTGATGGCTGATGGAAGCGATTAGGGTAGAATACTTCCCGATCATTCATTTTTCCGCCAAGGCAGGTCGATATACCCCACTGCACATTCAATGCTCGGACTAAGTGAAAAAAAAATCCCACGCACGGAGATCGTGGTTAGCCGGTCCACGTTTCCACGCTCCTCTCGTGTAACGACGTTCGCGTTGTTTTCTGAAGATGGAATTCGTAAAACTCAGTTTCACAACGGACCGATTCAACTTAGTTTGGTTCACCTAAGTATATATTAGGGGGGGGGGGGGCAGATTAACTCGGAATAGTGCCGATTGACCTGCAGTGTGGGAATTACTTCGACTGGAACGACGTGGACAGGAAATGCACCGACAAGGAATAACAACCAATTGCCACCCAGCAGTCCAAATCTCTCATCCAAATGTGCTCTTTTTAAAACCGCTGAAAGCGAAAAATTGCTTGGAAGATTAAATCGGCTTGACAATCAGTGGACTACACCCTTGTAGCCAAGCTCTTCTCCAAGCTCTGTAAAATGAAAAAGTTGTGCTTGAAATGAATACTAAAAGGGCCGCACTGTCCCCAGCTGGTCGATTTCCAACTTACTGGACGGTAGATGTTTGCTCTCCCGCTACAGCTCTTGTTTTTGCTTTGTGCTATTGGTATAGCTTACACGAAATCGATTAAATTCTCTCTTTTTCCTGTTGGAATACATGGGGTAAGAAAATAGTTTCTTATGCCGTCACGAAGCCTGTCAGCAACTAACATGACTCCAATTCCTTCACTGCTAATATTCATGGCATGCCCTCGAAATATCGTTGGAGATTCTCCATTCGGCCTCTTCCAAGATTTGATCGTCCACTTCAGAAGAGGCTTCCCGATTGAAAAATACGGTTCACGAACATCCATAAACTGTTATAAAGAGTGATATGCCCGTTCTTCCTTTATTTCCTCACCGAATCAGTCAACTTACCCGTTGAGAAGTCGAAGGAGACAGGAATCTCATCTTTGGGAAGCGTGAGACGTACGCCTACGTCATGGGTTGCAAGCAGTTAGAACCAGTGGGGTGCGGGCGCCTTCCACGTGGAGCCCCACCCAAATGGGGGGGGGGGGGCGCCAACACCCAAGCTTGTCGATCAATTAATTTTTTTCCTCTGTGAAGGAACCTTCAGAGGCCTAGTCTGATGAATGAGAGCGCTCAGTTGAAATGAAGGTAGCAGCAGATAAAAATTCGAAACGTAAGAGAGCTGCACGAAAACCTTCGCTTTGCTTGATCTTTCAAGGAAAAAGCTTACGACTCAGGAACTCGAGTGTCTAGAGGCATTCGAAGATGGACTCAATCATCAATGGGAGACGAGTATCAAACTTGAGGCTCGCAGATGACATCGACCAATGAACCAGTTAACAAATCCAGCAACAAATTTAGGTTCGAAATTAGCCCGAAGACAGTATACCTACCAGTTAGCACATAATACACAGAGGCTGAAATCAGACTGGGTGGCACCATCATGGAAAAGATCAGTGCCTTCACGTATCCCTACAGTCACACAAGATAACACAATGGTCCAGCTAAGGAGTAACTAGCACAAGCAACATCTGGGATTAACGGGATGAACAGAGCACAACAAAAGCATAAGCTAACCAGTATTTGAACTGAAAAGGCACCGGAAAGTTCCTACATTCAATGATAAGTCAAAGTTACCATTGAAGAAATCAGAAGACTGGCCAATATAACAGAAGAAAACGTTTTGAATTTGGTGCGGAGGAGGCAAAGAGTGTTATGTGTAGATGATGGAAGGGGATCGCCTCCCAAAAATCTGTCTGCAAGTTGGCAAGAAGACACGGTCGTCCCGGACTTACATGGGTCTTGCGAAACACCGACATAAACCTGGAAGTGGCCAAATGCAAGGCAGAAGATGGCCAGAGTAGGAGACATTTTGTTAGAGGAGAGCTCGTCCGTCAGGACAAGTCGTAGAAGAAGGCGTCTACTGAAAAAATGCTGGGTGAACGAAACGTCACCGCGGAAGCAGTCGGGGAGTTCGGATACCCTCCTGGAAGTATTTTCTATAGAGACTGCCCGCTAACTTCCCCTTGAAGCGTTTTCACGGAGCACGGAGCCTAAACAAGACTTAGAGCTTTCGTGGCTAGGGTTGGGGTACCTGAGCTTCACGGAGACTTTAGCTCCACGAAAAAAGTTCGAGTCTGCAGGATACTGGTCGGAACTAACTTTTCCTTGTCTAAGGTTCTATACCTCATTCCAGTGCAGCATGATTCTAGTCAGCGTCTTTCGGGTTTGCCTTGCCCTTCGTCATGAACCAGTTCCAGTTCCGCCTTATTCTGTTCGCACGTAAGCGACCCGGAAATTCTCATATTGGAATCTCAAGAGTTTCTTATAGATATCATCGTATCATTCTTTTCTTAGAAAGGAATCATATCTGGCATTTTATTCCAACCTGCATCTCTTTTATTTCTTGTGCATGTTGTGTTCCTTTACTTGAGGAAATTATTTTATTTTTGTACATTTCTTCCTTCGCCGAGTCACAGGTCATTGGTCTCCTATGGGATCATCATGGTTTTGTGCGCATACGTATAGTAGAAATTCCCTAGAGAAGCAAACTGAAACTTAAAAAGGTACCAGTTGTATGAAACAGGAACAGATCACCACTTTCTCCTTTTCGCGCGAATGCCAGCCCGGATTGGGTTCTTCCGTCTTCTTTCGCTGCTCTCTTCGAGGAAAGAACATGGCCGCACGCTGCGTTTGAGCTTTTCCTCAACATGTGAAATTGTCCGTGTTAATCGGTGAGCTTTCCATATCGTTGACGAAAAAAATATGGGAGATCTCAGTGCCACGACAATCGGGACACTCGAAAGACCACCATCACCAGCAAGACTGTCATACACATCGGACAAGCACTCCAAGTTCCTTTTAGAAGAAATACATCGACTTAGGAAGCATAGAGAATTGTGCGACGTCGTCCTCAACGTGGGAACGCGAAAGATTTTCGCGCACAGGTAAATTCTATAAGCTTGTCTTCGCAGTGAACACCCGAAACGAGGCCTAGGCAACGTTAACATAGTGTAAACATGATAGACTAATATCGACCTGAGCCAGACACGAAGGACATAGCTTTCAAGGCATAGGCCTAGTAGCCTATTCATTAACAGCGGAGATCAGGGTTGCTTATGTAGATCTTAGGCTCTAACTTGTCTCCATGAATAGACATCTCTAGAATCACAGGCACCATAAGCCTGGAGATTCATCTCATTCTTTAAGGTATGCTTCAAATAGCTGTGTGAAATGGGCTCCCATGCCTTCAGACCATCCTAACCACCCATGGAATTCAGATGAAGCAATTACTATAACCTCTTGGGCTGTGTATTGCATTTGCAGGACATGGAATACACAGTGGTTGCTAATTTTCTAATGCATATTTTAGCAACACCTTAGCTTTTTATGTGTATTGTGTTCCATGGATTGTCATGTTGGTTCTACATCCTGTTTTTCACAGTGTATACCACTTCATGTGTGTTCAACAGCTGTCTGGACTGCAAGAGTGACTTGGAACTTGATACATTGCTGTGGACCCATGTTCAGTTATTAATACTAACTTGTAGAAAACATATTTTAATGGGATTTAGTGCCCTACTCAGGTGGATGCTGTTTGCATTGTTTCAGAGTTATATTGTCAGCATGCAGTCCATACTTCAGAGCCATGTTCACTGGGGAGTTGGCAGAATCAAGGCAAACAGAGGTGACCATCCATGATGTGGATGAGCAGGCAATGGATTTACTGGTGGACTTCTGCTACACATCTCAGGTTGTAGTTGAGGAAAGCAATGTCCAGACACTACTTCCTGCAGGTATGTATAATCCTGTAGAACAGGATTGTGAAATATTTATTTTGTTCAACAATGTAAATATTGTAACAGTAGTTACAATATTTACATTGCCTTATTGTAATTGTCTCTCTTCAGTGCCTGTTCAGTTTAATACTTTTTAAATCATCGAGAATCTTGTGATACACTTTATATTTATTTTTTTTAAAAGGATAATACAAAACCTTGATGCTACAATCATGTCAAATCATGTTATGTAAAAGAATGGAAGATGCAAGTAGGCCTATCAGTAATTTATGTATGTCTTTCCTTTTCTAGCTTGCTTGCTGCAGCTGACGGAAATCCAAGATGTTTGTTGTGAATTTCTTAAAAGACAATTGGACCCTTCGAACTGTCTTGGCATCAGAGCTTTTGCAGATACCCATGCCTGCAGAGACCTATTACGTTTTGCTGACAAGTTTACACAGCACAACTTTCAGGAGGTAAGAACGATTATATCTGTAGCTATTTGAATACTTACTTATTTTTGTCCAATTGGCCTAACATGCAGATGGGTTTGATTAACAGAATCAAAATTCATAAATGGTCCTGATGAATAATTCATTTGTCCTCCTCATTTTAGAGAAGATTGTAAATTTATTTTAGTCAGCCTACTCTGTATTAGCAACCCTAAATAGTTGAACCAAGTTCTCCATCAGAGCACAAGTGTGAGAAAATTTGCATCAAACTATGTTCAACAATGAACTGGAAAAGGGGAATGGATGATTTCTCTCTTGGAAGATGATGGATATTGTGGTTTTTTTTTTTCTCTTCTGAATATTCTTCCTTCTTTGTAACTCCTATTTCTTGTGACCTTTTTTGGTTTTGCTCATGAAAAATGCCTGGAATTTGGGATCAAGGCCTTCTTTTTGTTGTTGCCAAGTCTGGTTGATGTATATGTTGTGTTGGGGGCTTTAACAGAAAATCACCACAGATGAAACCTGCTCACAGGATGACTGTTTTATAGAAATAGGACCATTTGCTGAATAGAAACCAGTGCATCAATAATGTTTCAGACATAGCTAGCCTTGTTGCTCCATAACTCCTCATATTGATGCCTTCTAGACATCACATGCACTTAAATGCTGCTGCAGGAGTGCCTTGAGTTTCAATTTGTGAGTTCCAAACATCAATCAATCAAGAAAAGAATCATTGTGTTGAGTATTGGCATCTTAAGTACAGTACTTCCATCTTTACTATTCACTGCACTAATTGAGAAAGTCACAAAAGTCGTAAAGGTCTAGTCTTACTCTGGAAGTGTGACAATGCTTAACCTAGGTTCCAGTTTTCAAAATGGAATCAGCCAGAGTAGCTCCACACTTTGTAGCTTTGTTGACTGCTGACAATCATTCCTTCCTGGTCAGGAGCACAATAGTGTAATTCAGATGCCCATTTCACATAATCCATTCCATCCATAGTAGTGATACCAGAGCACTTCCCATGAATCTAATGCCAGTATTCTTTTCCTTTCTCTCTCATTTGCATTGAACTGACCAACCTTCAATTAGTGCTTGTAAAACTTGAAGTGACATATTCCCCTCACACAGACAGAAATTTAATGGGAATGACTATGTTTCACAGAAAGTTTATATTCCTCCCCTGCTGTAATTTAAAGTTATCTTCAAATTTCTCATCACGTAGGTCATCAGCAGTGAAGAATTCATGCTACTGCCAGTAAATCAGCTCATCGACATCATCAGCAGTGATGAGTTGAATGTTCGGTCAGAGGAGCAAGTCTACACTGCTGTTATGGCTTGGGTCAAGTCTAATATGGCTGAGAGGAGGCAGAATCTCCCACAGGTTTGTGATTGGAAGAGAGTTATATAATATTAGCCTTCTACAGAGTATCTTTTTCAATAAACAACACAGTGACACTTTCAACTGGATTTTACAGGTACTGCAACATGTGAGACTGCCGCTGTTGAGTCCAAAATTCTTGGTTGGAACTGTGAGCTCAGAGTTATTAATCCGATCAGATGATGTCTGTCGAGACCTTGTTGATGAAGCCAAAAACTACCTGCTCCTTCCCCAAGAAAGACCATTGATGCAAGGTCCACGTACACGGCCCAGGAGACCATCACGCAGGGGAGAAGTTCTTTTTGCTGTAGGCGGCTGGTGTAGTGGGGATGCCATCCAGTCTGTTGAAAGATATGATCCTCAGACCAATGAATGGCGAATGGTAGCTTCCATGTCAAAGAGGCGATGTGGAGTTGGAGTGGCAGTGCTCTCTGATCTCCTGTATGCAGTTGGTGGTCATGATGGGCAATCCTATTTGAACTCCATTGAGCGGTTAGTGAATTTCCACTGTTTAAGTCCATGATGTATGGAGTAAAGCTATTTGTGAGCTCATTTTAATGATCACATAAGGGCTCTAAGAAGAAGTCTTCAATTCCATTTTATTCTTATGTACAGAGTTGCTGATATCTATGTTCTTTTCTGACTTGATTAGGTATGATCCACAGACAAATCAGTGGAGCAGTGAAGTTGCGCCCACAAGTTCATGCCGTACAAGTGTAGGAGTTGCTGTTCTTGATGGCTACTTGTATGCAGTTGGTGGTCAAGATGGTGTTTCTTGCCTCAATTATGTTGAAAAGTCAGTCCTAATATGTTTTACTTGTGCAAAAACACTTGTACTCATGCCTTCTGATGTTGAACTACTTGTACCAGTGGCAGCTCATGAGTATTGCTTTGAGTTGGGCACATAGTAATGATAAATGAAGGAATTAGTCGACATTGATACCATGACCCCCACACCCTGCTTTTGCAGTAATATATGAATACTAACTTTGGCATCAATAGACAGAATATGTGACTCCTGAATTCATATTCAAGTTTGCCATGTGGATAGATGGCTGTTGACTATGAAAACACCTATCTTGGCAGACACTAGTTGCACCAACCTGAACATGTACATCATTACCAGGTTAGGGGAGAAGATGAAGAGCCTGGAAGGAAGAGAAAGACCTAGAGGATTTATAGATGTATGCTATTTCAAATACCTGAATGACTAGGGTTTGGTGCTTATTTATGTTTTGATCAAGTCAGGTGTGACTTAACATGCCTATACTGTTGAGCTGCCTCTGACTTCTATCTACTGTTACAGCCTGAAAGATGGAAAGAATATGACTATTCTGGGTTGCATTATTCCAAAAATGAAAATTTTGTTTTCCAGATATGATCCTAGTCTGAATCGGTGGACTAAAGTGGCTAGTATGAGCACAAGGCGACTTGGAGTTGCTGTTGCCGTCCTGGATGGTCACCTGTATGCTGTAGGAGGTTCTGATGGAACGTGTCCCCTCAATACAGGTCTTGATGAACTTCTGTGACTCTATTTTTATTATCTACTGATTGGATTTTATTAATCAAGAACCCTCTTATCCCTGCAGTTGAGCGGTATGATCCTAGAAGTAACCGCTGGTACCCTGTTGCCCCTATGTCCACACGTAGAAAGCATCTAGGATGTGCAGTGTACAACAACATGATCTATGCAGTTGGTGGAAGAGATGACTGCATGGAATTGTCATCAGCAGAACGCTACAACCCTCAGATCAATCAGTGGAGTCCGATTGTAGCGATGAACTCTCGACGCAGTGGAGTTGGTTTGGCTGTTGTCAATGGTCTCTTGTATGCAGTGGGAGGTTTTGATGGAACCACTTACTTGAAGAGTGTGGAAGTGTTTGACCCAGATCAAAATCAATGGAGGTTGGTGGGCTCCATGAACTGCCGCAGACTTGGCGGTGGAGTTGGGGTGGTAAAGATGCCTCAACAAGAACAACATCTTTGGTGATCTCCTCCTTCCTTGCTTTCATTTTCACATTCTCTTAGTCCCTGGTGTGGGGCTCTTTTTCTCCCATGAACCTTATGACCATTGTTTCCCCTGTGCCCCCTCACTGTTTTTCTTGATCTAGTTTGTTTCCACTTCAGCATTGATCCTTTGCATTTTTTTGGACTGTTGGTAATTTCCCTGCAAATTTGTCTCCATGCCATATGGGTCACACAAATATTGTTCCTCCTCCCTCGCAAGTTTTTCTTCTGTTTTCTACCTAAGCATTAACCTGGAAATGTAAGATTTAGATCTGTTGGGGAAGCTGCTAGCTACCAGAGGTGCAGGATATGCTGGACTTGGTGGCTTTGTTTTCTATTGAGAGTTATATTATGATTATTAAAAGAGAAAACAGAAATGAAGGCATTTATCCATTTCACCACTGTCTTTCTCTTGTCACTTCAAAATGGAATCGTGAAAGAAGCTCCCAGAGCTGAACAAGGATATAAACTCTTTTCTACTGACAACTGTACTACAGCAGGAACAGAAACCACTATTTGTGTTCTCAAGACATGTTGGAAGGAAGATTGCAGTGATGCTCCTTTTTGGTGTTAATGGTTGGGTTCAAGTGTTGACTAAATGGCTCACTTGACTACAAAGCACCTACTGTCCATTTGACAGGAGGTAAATGAAGGTTATTTGCCCCCGTGTGATAGCTCCAAATTTTTTCAAATTTTGGCTTAATCCTGAGACGATGTCCTGTGTAGCATGGGAGAATCAGTCCAGCCTAACATGAATCCTTGACCAATTGATAATCTAAATAGATGCAGGAATAAAATTCTGCCAGACTAGTACCATAAGCTCAAAACCTGGGATTTTGGTGTGGATTTATGACCTATGGCAGATTATTATATATCGGGATGCAGAGGGATGTTACTTGGGAGCTTGAAATGGTCTGCACAAAGGGGCTAAATTTAGAGGTTGGCTGTGCCTGGGCTCGAACCTACGACATCATCGGCCAGGGGGTTGTGATCCCAGCATTCAAACCAACAGACCACCAGAAACCAGAAATATATATATTATAAAATAATATTTTATAGAATATTTAAAAACATGTTATAAAAACGAAAGCATTTAGATCTAAGTTGTGTCCGATTAACTCAATTATTAAAAGTTGTTCCGGTTTAGTCACAGAGAGCAAGCAAAATGCAATTTTATCAGAGAGCATTGGATATTTCGTGAATAGACTAAGTACGAGGTTGTGGTAAGGTTATATATTATGTAATAACTAACCATTTCCCCGAGTCCCACAGACACGTAATTTTCCAGATTTTATTTCCTTTGCAACTATGCCAACTATAAAACTTCAACATTTTCAGCCCTTTCTGTGAAATCTCTCACCAGATCACTCTGACGGAGGTCGTGTCCCTCAGGTATCCATGCAGAAGTTGAAATCCACGTTTCTTCGAACTATTCCACCACGACCTTCGCACATTCTCCTTTCCTCGAGAGAATCCGTACATTGCTCCCAGTTGCTTCCCAGCTGTTCATAGAATCTGTCGAGTATTGACGTCAGGGTCTTTCATGGTTTCTCTTCTGCACCAATCTTGACAGCTGGAGGGGAGGGGGCATATGTAAACGGAGTTCAACTGCGTTAAGATTATTGAAAAAAAAAACAAACATTAATGGATGATTGAAAGGTCAGTGTTGTACAGGGCCACCCGTGAAATCATGTCCAATCCACTCATCAGGCTGAATGATGGCCGATGATTCAAAGCCGGTCCATGAAATTCGCCCTCGTTTCCATTTTTGGGACAGCAGAGTTGGGCAGGGGTGAAGTCAACCGAAGAGCCCTGTATTACACTTTTGTCATGCAGAATTAGGATTAGAGGCGTGTCGTGTTGACCTGCAATGAGCCATTGTTCGATCAAAACCGCAAGTATGCTGATGCTACCTGTATAAGTGGTCTTCTTTGTTATATCGTCGAGCCACGACGCCCGTTGTCTAGCTATCCAACACAGCTCCTTCGTTTTATCACTGCAATGGAAACGTAACATGTATAGCCTTTGGAGAAGTTATATAAAATGAAATTCTGAGACTGTGAGAATGTCCTTGGGTGGAGATTGGGTCACTGATGATAATCCGCACGGATGAAATATTATCCCTCAAAGGAAATAAAAGGAAATTCCTGGATCGCACCACGTGTAATGAGCCCGATCTAAGAAGAGCCCGAGGCAGATGGAAAGAAAGTCCCGAAAGTTCGAGAAAGATGGAAACTTGAGCCTCTACGAAGCTTCGGGGATATATTTTTTTCTCAGGAAAAAGTTATTTCACTTGTCCTCATATATTAATTCATTTGCAAGCTGTCTAGTTGCCGCAGGGAAGAATTACTGCGTCAAAATTTTCTTGGCCTTGCCAGCTCCAATGAGAAAATCTCATCCCTTCTGAGCCATTGCAAAAGGAATCCCATCAATGTGGTGCCGTAATCCTTTTTTGGTATAGCTGAGGAAGGATGAGGTTTCTTCCTTGGAGCTGATAAGTTCGATTTTTTTTTGGCTCGGTGTCTGTGATTCTTCCAATTCCCAACTGACATTCATACGGTACGTAACATATGATGATGAGACTCATATCCTATATACGCCAAGAGAGAGATTCCGAATGGCTTCATCTTGTCTCGCCTAATGAATTCGCCGTTAACCTTGTAGGGAAGCCATCCATAGTCAATCAAGGGCGCTATTTTCATCTCATTTTAGAAGAATATGCGTAACCCGGTGTTATTGTTATTGTGGCTTAAGAAGAAAAATCATCACATGCGACTATTGGCTTTTTCTGAGAAAAATCTTGCGAAAATTATATTAATAATATGGGTAAGAAAGGTTGTATGCTATTCATTCATTCAAGCATTTATTTCACTCTCATGAGAGTAGCCAGCCCTCGATTGCAGTGCAACTGCAATTGAAACTGGAGGATGCTGCGTTAGAGCTTCTTTCCGGAACGAAGAAAACTTCTCATCTCCGTGATAATTAGCGTCATAGATGTCGAAAGTCGTTTGTCGGATTCCGATGATTTTTTTTTCCTCCATCGTATCTATCCCACAAGGAATTCCAGAAATTACCTCTGGTGCTAGGGTTGTTGGTACTTGAATCATGTTTTCATCAGACCGAAGAGCTCGAGAGTCTCACGTTCGGCTCTCTCGCTTTTCAGTCGGTTTTTAGCAGGCGTTCTTGGGTAGCCTTCGTATTAATCGCGCCTGGTCTTTTTATGTCTCTATCGATCAAAACACGATCTTCTCGAGCAGAACTATTCCGCAGACTTCGCCATGGTCGAAGTGCTACTGGAAGAAATGAAGTGAAACGTGCTAGAGGTCAGGAATTTGACAACTACTGGATGCATTGTGCGCTGTGCTCACCGTGCGCTCATTTGCTCCAAAAACTCAGGCAATATGGTAATTAATTACGAAGAAGAACGTTTATTACGCAAGAAAATGCTCGTAAAAGCAAAATGAGAGTAGACCATGCGTGGGAAAAAGTTAACGAAATTCTTATGCAAAATAGGTGCATAAAAGCGAGAGTAGTCTAGTGCGAATATCGATGCTTCATGAACCAATCTCAGCAGCGTACGAAAGGGGAATCTCATGGGATCAAGACTCCCCTTCCCCCCCACCATTTTCCACTGCATTAATGCTGATGTGCTGGGCCACTCCGCTCCCTCAAATCCTCAAAGCCGCTGCCCGATCCTTTCCCAGTGAGAAGAGTGATTGGGTCCGGAGCCTTTAACTATTCCTTTCACCCTTACCTATTGTCCTCTGTCCTCGATTAAACGTGATTATACGGTGACGACTTGGGTCTGTGACCACCGAATCGAATCGCTCTGCCCTCACCGCAACCTCTAGGAGGTAATTCCCTTTTACCTATCGAGACTTCATTGGCTGGGCAATGAATCCAGAAAAAGAGACCCGGGGAAGGAAGGATGACCTCCACCGCGTCCTTTCTCTCATTAAATAGGGTGACAATGTGGAAGAGGTTTCCATTCGCCCGAGAGACATCTAGTGTGAGCTGAATGAAGTCTCACTAGGGTAGGAATCCCAGACTGTGATGGGAAAAAAAAACTTGTTCCTGTTCTTGACCCCCTTTCAGAGTCAATTTTTCCACAGGAGATGGGAAATTTTCTTGGTGGTTCAGACCATTCCAACGGTTCTTACTGCGAACGAAACCATCTTGCTGAGGGAAATGAGTACACGGGGCATTAGTAGCAACCAAGAAGATACCACTACAAAACGTTCAGCTTTATTCTAAACATTCAACATGACGATATCTTGTGATGTCATTCAACCTAATTCTCTAAGATTCAATGATTCGACCTAGGTGGAGGTGAATTTTGAGTGTTGTCCCCCATTTTGAACTTGTTTAGATTTCGAGCACATATCAGGACTTAAGTTTATTTCCAAACCTTCACTGATTACCAATCGTATTTTAGATCAGGTAACGATTTCTTTAGGTCATGGTCATAGATTTCATTAGAAATACTAACTTCATTTTTTTAAATTACTAAATCACGATCAAGGAGCCAAAGAAAAATGTAGCAAGTTCTGAACGAACATCAGGGGCCTATTCCGCAGAAGATTTACAAGTTCCAAGCTACAAGTTACAAGTAGTTGCAAGGATTGTGTCTTCTTTTTCAATGCGTCTAGCGGGTCCCGTTGACGACGCGATCAAAGCGTGACTCTTGCAACTACTTGTAGCTTATAACTTATAAATATTCTGTGGAATAGACCCCAGGTGTCATGAAAAAGTGAAGCACAGAAAGTACAAGTGTTCCAAGTAAAATCAACCGCCAGATGAAAAGGAGTGAATTCCCTTTTAAAATTTTTTCTGTGTTCCTTTGATATCCTTCAAATTTCTTCGAGATATGTATCACTTCTTATCGCCAATAACTATTCCTCTATATTACTTCAAAATCGTCATTGACGTCCCTTTACATCGTGTGACTCCATCGGCTGCTTCCCTATTCTTCAAATATTCTTCGGGCTTGACCCAGACTTGGGGGTGAAGCACCCCCAGCCCCACCCTCACTACGCCACTGTTGCGTGGGGAACACAGGGGAGAATGCCCTTCAGGCAACACGCTCTCTGCAGTTACGAGAAGGATGTGCAAGTATCGGGAATATCCACGATAGATGTCTCTAGGAGGCAGACCATATACGGGGCAAGCCCAACCAACCCGTGGCGAGGCCTCTCGCGATCCCCACGGGCCCTGCGATGCCAAGGTAAAGGTAATGGGAATGAACGGAAAGAGAGCGTCAACGCTCATTGCGAGCCGAGTGCCGAGTCGGTTGGCCGGTTTCATCTGCATCGTCCTGTTTCTCTTCCTCTGTCTATTTCGTTCGTTCGCTCTTGTCCACGTTATTCGGTCTTGGTGGCGGTTTA